TTCAGAATAATGTATAACAATAATGTATATAATGTATTTAATATAAATAAAAGTATAGTATAATAGAATAGCATATTTTTAATGATATTTTTATTAAAAAAAATACCGCAAATTTAGTCGAAAACTTGAGTGATTTATAGTGAGAATGGATAAATTTACAGAAATTTATAGGAAATTCAATCATCATTTTTAACAAAAGCATTATATTTGAATTACTGACATTGAGCCCCTTAATGAAACCTTTTAATTAGACCCATCATGAATGAATGATTTCAATATTCCGTCTCTCATATTCCTGTTTATAGGACATCTGATCCTTTCCGACGCTTAAATTTATTTTCCTAAACTTTTCGAACTTCTTAATTTTAGGTATAACTAATAAATTTAATTTTTATGAAATTTTCAAATCTTTGCTTTTTTTCTCAATCCCTTTTATTTCTCTCTTTTTTAAACGATTTGTTTTCTCCTTTTTTCCTCTCTTTCTAATAGAATTTTCTTGGCTCAGTTTTTATCAATTTTATAAAAATTTCACAAAATTTGCTTTTATGTAATGTATAAATTTATCACTTATCGTTTTGCGTTTATATAGATTCGCCGAAATTTTCAAAAGTTAAGAAAAATAATAGTTAAATGACTTGCTTATGTTTGAATGTAGTTTAATTTTTGGTGAAATGAATTTATTTAATGAATTTGTTTTCAAAAAAAAAAAATTTTTCATTGAAATTCATTCCAAATAATATTGTTCGTATTTCTCTTTAGAAATAATAGATTCATTTCAAATGAACTAACAAATTTTATCAGCGAATGATCAACGAAAAAAAATTGTGTCATTGCATCACCACTGTCACCATCACCATCACCACCACCATCATCATTATCATTATTGTCGTTACCATTATCAATATCGACAATTTGTTGAATATTGTTCAAACATTATTTATTATTTGACGTGGAAAGCTACCATCGTTACCATTGATTGCTAATTTTTTCTTTCAAAATTTTTTTTCAATGATATTATATATTTCCTAAAAAAAAATTATTCATTTTATTTATTTTATAGTTATCGCAAAAATTTCCTTAAAATCGTTCTTATTATGAACAGTTTTAAGCATTTAAATTTTATAAAAATTGCAAAATTTGCACTAAAAAAAGAAATCAATTGAAATGAATATTATATTTCCATGATTTAAATTAATTTTTTTATAAATTTTTATAGCGGTTGATTCAATTGTCGATTTAATTTAATTTCTTTCATTAATTTTATATACGTATTGCAATATTTTAGTTGTATTATTTGTTGAAGTAAAAATTGTATTTAAATTAATGAATTTGTTAAATATGTTTAAATAAAATTAAGGATTTTCTAAAATGAAATTTCTGAACTAAAGCAGAAAAATTTTCTTTTTTCTCTGATAAATTTTCGGATAAGTTTAAATTGGAGTTGAAATACCCCTATTTTTTCAAACATGAATGAGAAATGGTTTCGTTAGATATACACTTATCAATTTGATCAGCCTTTTTTATCTATTATTGACCGGAATATTCTGATTGAATATTCTATGACCTTTCATTGCCAAGGTTTAGTTGGGTTATGTTTCATTAAACGTTTTATAATTTTGTTTCGAGCAAATATGAAGCATCATTCCATTATTTGTTTATATTAGTTAGGATTTGCTGGCTAGCTTCATCTCCTGATTTCAATTTTTCTTAATTTTTTTTAATTTTCTTCTTAATTTATCTTAATTTTCCTTAATTTTTTTTCTTAATTTATTCAGATTAATCGGATTTTTCTATTCGATAGTCATTTACGATATAATGCACTTTGGTTTCTGGAAAAGAGATTATATCGAAGATAAAGTCTCTTATTTTTTTAATAGAACTATCTTGTCGCGCGAATGCTCTAATAGATCACATCAAATATTAAGATAGATCTTTCAGCTATGATTATAAACTCTATAATTCCTTTATTCTAATTTCTTTATTATTATTATAAATATTGCATTGGGAATGTATAAATTATTAAGGATTATAAGCCTTTATAGTTCCAATTTTTGATGTCCTTCAAATCAACTGAAATATTTGACGAAACTTGCTTTAATAGTTTATTTAGAAGATAAAAATCATAAAATATTTAAGATTAAAGTAAAATTATTACTATAAGTTTAATACATTATATTTGAGTGTCTATCAATGTCGATAAGCCATTTTAAATTCAAATTATAAAAAAAAAAAATTTATAAAGAAAAATTTATAAATGAAGAAAACCCATTATATTTATTTTAGAAATACGATACGATCTAAAGATCTTTAAAAATTTTAAATAAAGCGATCGTGTTAAAGATGAAATAAACACAGTGAAAAAGTATTGAAATATTTTAAAATAAATAAGTAATAAATAGGCAAATAGCGCAGAAATTATCAGATTTCTATACGAGGAATACTCGATATGAGTTATTTTCAAAAAATTATTTCAGAAAACCTTGTTACCTAAATTTGTCGGAAGTGCTTATTTGTGTTGTGCCTCAATGTTTTCAAAAGAAGTTATGGAATCTACTCATCGAATGATTGATTCGATCGAAAGGTTATCTATTGTTTTCTGCTTTTACTCCCGTCATTTCTCGTTTCGCATTGCTCAACAAAATTATACAACGATGCTCCAACAATCTTATGTAAATAACTGAGATGACTGAAAATTTGTTTTTCTTAATTAAAACCTATGGAAATTCGAAAGAACATATCTTTAATTTATGTGTTATACATAAGATTTAAATTTCTTCATCGTTTCACTTCATTCCATTAATATTTATTTTTTTATACGAGCATGCATTATCCGGAAGTCCTCGTTGGTCCTTCCACCAAATCAGCTTGGTACTCCCATATGACTTTAAATTTTCCTCGGATTGAACCGTGATATTGTTCAAGATTAATGTTTACATGATTAACATCTTCATGTCATTGCTCCACTCAAGGCAAATTTTGCTGCTTTAACCGATATTCCTAACCGATACCCATGCTATGTATGCTGCAAATAATGCCAAAACAATTAAGAAAAAAACTATTGTATTATTAAAATGAAAATGCTTTAATTTCAAACGATTCTTTCTTCAATTTTCAACTTATGGATAATCGATGAATTAACGGCATATAAATTGAGATAGATTATTTTTCGAGCTAAATTTACAGCTTAGATTATTTTTCGAACTAAATTTACAGCTGAAATAGTTGTATAGTTCACTTCACGATCCACTTAATCTGAGACATTCAATTAATATTAAATATTCAGTATTCATTTAATATTAAAAATCAATTCTTTTAAAGAGATTCTTTGTTTTTTCCCAATTTTTCAAGTAGTTGCCCTCTAATCTTTCCAAAAATTCTACAAGTAAAATTCGTTTTAATTTTACTTTTCCTTAAAATTAAAATTTGAATAATGTTGAGTTTTAAATAATGTTATTTAATGGATAAATTTTCTTGTCTTTTTTTCCCCTTTTTCATTTCCATATTTCCAAATTTTTCATTTTTTTCGCATTGCTTAAGATCATAATATCACTCATTTATTATTTTTTATTATTATTTCTTAAATTTAAAAATTTCCGTTTCTTATAATTTGTAATGAATAAACACGATTAAATTTATGTTTACAAAAAAAAATATTTTATTTCGATTGAAAATTTCTGTTTAAACATTTTACATTTTTCCACATTTTTATTAATTTTTTAATAGAACAGCATTTAAAGAGAATTTTTTAAATTTTAATGAGAAATTTCTTAAATTTTATTAATATTCATTCATATTCATATTAATATTCACTAAGGGCAAATTAGCCGAGTGGATATATTTTCAAATCATCGCAAAGTAAGATTTCGTTTTCTGTGACCGGTATATACCATTTAAAAACGCGGATGTCGTGGATGATCCACATTTACCTCTATTGCCATGTGATTCCTTTGCAAAAATTCTTAATGTTACCAAAAGACAGTGGGGAAAAACGAAGAATCTTATATTCATTTATTAATTTGTATTCATCTTCATCCTCAAAAATTTACGACCAATTTATCTTTAGTTTAAAATAATTTAGAAATAGATATTTCTGAATTTTCAAGAATTTTTTGCTGAGTGGTCATTTTCAAAAAATATTCTCGATTTATTTTTGTGAATTTATTTTTCATTTATGATCACAATTCAGCTAAGTCTTCTTAAACTTTTAACTTTTTTTCACCAAATAACGATAAAATAAATTAAAATAAAATAAATTAAAATTAAATCAATTAAATTAAATAAATTGTAAATTATAAATCAAATCAATTAAATTATATAAATAATTTATATATATATTTTATATATATATATTTTTTTAAGATTTAATTGCCTTTTATTCTTTTATTATTTTTAAAATTTCAATGTCTATTTTATTATTTTCTTTAAATTTAATTTTTTTTCTTTCGCAGGAGTAAACCTGCCATTATGTCAAAAATCCGGGTGGCTGCTGGGGACCCACCTATATCTCTATCCCCCAAGTGACTCTGCGGTGAAGGGGTCAGATATTTTTGATACGTTCGCGTCTCCCGAAGCACATGATACTCTCAGCCCGGTGGTACTTGCGATAAGTGCACAATCCAGACTTAAGGCGATTCCAAGTAAATAAAATGTACTCGCAAGCCAGGATAATTGCTTGAAACCTATCAAAGGGAACAGCTCTCTGCACGTGTGGCGAGGTTTTAACCGTATCAGCGTGGAACTTTAGAATACTTATGGACGTTGCAAGCCAAGCGTTCACTATCCACACCCTTTCTAAATATCGTGTGGATATCGCTTGCTTGTCGGAGGTCTCGCCTTCCTTAGGTCTCAGGTCTCGAGAAATTATTAATCCTGGTTCGGAGCAGAGATACTGGCTATATCACTGTGGTGCTTCGGATAACTCGGGTCGAAATGGCGTAGAGATTGTCATGTCTGACTAAGCCCATTCCACTTTGATTGAGTGGAAACCGGTAAGCGAACGTATGGCCTATGCGCGTTTTAAGGGTAAATTTTGTAATATTTCACTCATCAGTATCTATACTCCAGCTCTGTTGGCAGATGACCGTGATATGTTCGGTGCGGAACTTCGACTGCTAACAAAGTCTCTACTAAAATATGGCATGGTCATAATCGGGGGAGACTGGAATGCACGCGTAGGTCATGCCGCTGCGATGGCCTCTACAATTGGCAAATATGGCATCGGAGACCGGTGCGCCAGTTGGGAAAGCCTTCTTCGTTATGCCAAAGAGCATAAACTTTTTATTACTAATATTTGCTTCTGGCATCGTAGAAAACATCTAGCCACATTCCCCGTATAACCAACAGATTGATTATATCTTAGTCAGTCACCGTTGGAAGAATTCCGTACTAGATAGTCGTTCCACCCACAGCGCTGAAACGGGCAATCTTCATGGATTTGACCATGTTATGGTTCGAGCCAAGATCAGCAACTCGTCTGAAAAAGTTCTCAAAGCACGAATGTCAGGTATCCAGACTACCGGGTACTTCGAATATTTGCAACGAAAGCACAGCACAGCGGGACAGAAATCACTATTGGAGTGACATGGCCACAGGAATGCAGGCGGCGGCTCGATTAGGCGATAATACGAAACTATTCTGCCTTCTTCATAAAGCATAATTCGGGGAACGATCAGTGAAATGGTAAGGGACATCAGTGACGTGCAAGTCAAGAGTATTAAGACCGCCTTATAAGATGGAAAGAATTCTTTGAGGTTAAATTTAACCATGAAGCTGACACATTCGCTGAACCATATGCTTGCAAATGCGAGCCCCGACAGAAGAAAAAATAATATCTGTTATCAATAAGCTTAAGACCAATAAGGCTCCGGAAGAAGATGATCTTCAGGCTGAACTCTTTAAATATTGTCCATCGTCCTTCATAACACACCTTCAATAAATGTATTCTCTGGGATGGGAAAAAGAAATATTACCAGATGATTGGAGTAAAGTAATTCTGCTCCCAATTCTCAAAAAAGGCGATAGGACATACTGCGACAATTGTCGAGGAATCAACCTATAGACGTCTCAGTGAAAATTTTTGCTTCCCTTTTATTCAACAGGCTTATGGAAATATGGGACAGCAAGATGCGCCCTAATCAAGCTGAATTCAGAGGCGCAGTTGTGCTGACAAGATATTCACGTTAAGAAGGATTTTGGTACAACCTTCAGATATTTGCAATCCACTGTCACGTGTTCCATCGCCTTTGCGGCTGCCTTTGATTCAATTGATAGAAATATGCTTTGGAAGATGATGGAATGCGAAGATGTTCCAGAGAAGATCATCCGACTCATAAAGGCATTTAATGAGCGTAAGTCGCGCATATCTGTATATATGGGGAGCTGACAGATTCCTTCGAAGTAAGAACAGGTGTCCGTCAGGGTTCTTTCACTGGACATAGCTTGTCGTTACTCAAGAGGTGTTAGTCCGAATTAGTCCAGAGCATCGTATCATAGATCTTGAATACGTTGATTATGTAGTCCTTTTTGCTGACAATTATAACGGAATGCAAGTAATACTAAATAAATGTCAGAAACTGCAGCAAGAATCGGACTCAGTGTCAATGTATGCAAAACGAAAGCCTTTTCGTCTTATATACAAGAAGCTGATAAAATGCCTCTTTTTGTAAATTCATTGACAGTCGAGGAAGTGCCCGATTTTAAATACTTTGGGTCCACTCTAATACCAAATGGCCAAGTAAAAGATGACCCGGACTACGGCAGCTAGAAATGTGTTCTCTAAGTTGAAGAAACCTTTATGGAGCAATCGTGAAATTACCATTAAAAGAAAAATCCGCATCTATGTAGCTGCGATTCGTTCGATCTTGCTATATGGTTTTGAGACATGGCCAATGAGAGTGGGAAATATTAAGAAGCATACCTTTGAACCTCTTTTGCCTAAGGTATATTTTACGGGTCCGTCGAGTAGATAAAACATCTCATGATTGCAATTAATAGTGTTATGACAGTGTCATCGCCTTCGGTGGTCGTCCTCCAGAAGAGTTGACGCATATTTCGTTACTTACTAAATCCGGTAACGAGTGGTGAAAGCGAGGTGGGTCAATCAAGATCTGGACTGATGCGGTCAGGAAAGATTTTGAACATATAGGTGGAACAGCAATATATGGACTTAAACGATAGAAAAAGAAATGGCTTCTATTACGGTCGACGATATTACTGCGCCGCTTAGAAGTTTTACCCTTATAGCCGTTGAAACCAGCCTAACCAGTAATGGTGAGAGCTGTTAGAAGAAGAATTGTCTGGTAAAATCATAAAGATTAAGATTGATAATTAGTCTAATTGGACATTCTAATAAAGCTTTTTAATAAATTATAAATCAGTTTATTGGCATCGAAAAAATTTTTTTGTGGAAAATTAAGTATTGAAATAATGAACAATAAACAAATTTTTGAATTTATGAAAAACAAATGAATTTTACTAATTGGAACGATCAGACTTTTTTTTGAAAAAAGCGTTCATAAGCGTTTTTAGAATTCTTTTATTTTTCTCTATTTTCCTTCATCCTAATAGGAAAAAATTACAAAAATTTTCATAAAAAAGTATAAATTGAAAAATTTTGTTTGTAAATAAGGCGAGATTTGAGAAAATTGTCTAATGATTCTAGAAAAAAATGAGCAATTTATTTTAGTATTCTTTGCATAATTCATTTTTTTCCATTTTAAGAATTCAAATTACCACTTTAATAAAAAAGAAAAGAGTAGTCGAAACAATTCATTTCATTATTTTATCATTTCTCAAAACATTTAATAAGAAATTCAGAACTATTTTCTGGATCCTGGATATGGCACTGGATTAGGCGGAAATAATAAAGTAGTGTAAAAATAAGAATTATAAGTTAGAATTTTATGAAGAATTTCGCATATTAGTTCGGAGTTGAAACGAGTTATTTAGAGATATGAGTAAGAAAGATGGAGAGGATAAATTGAATTTTCACTAGAATTTAATCACTGCTAATGATGAAATTAATCAGTTAAGAGTACCTTCAATACAAAATTGATAATGAAGGATGAGGAGGATAATGATGCTGCGCAGCGGCACATTTTTCTTTTATTTTCGTTTTTTTTTCTATTTTTTTGATAATTCGAATATTCGAAAACTTTTCGTTTCAAACATTTGCTTCATAGATATTCACTAAAGTGATTTCCTTTAGTGCCATTTTGTTTTTTTTTCATTTATTGTCAAGTAATTTCTTTTTTGGATTTATTCTTTTTCTGAATATATTTTAGAATTTATTCTAGAAATTTCGTGGTTAATATTTCAATTTTAATTTTAACATTAAAAATGGATGACGAGTTGCGCAAAGACCTATGTTAAATTTACTAGGCCACTAATACGTAATGTAAATAGAATTTTACCATAGTAGAGCTCTAACATTTTATGATTTAAATGGCAGTGGATTGCCTTCGTAGTTAGAAATTTTTTGTTATTTTTCATCTATTGTAAAACTGTTTATATTTTAAACTGTATAAATGAATATTAGTACATTTTAGATTTTCCAACCGTTTGTCATCAGATTAAAAAAGAATGAAAATAATCACAGAGTAGATTTTTTAAAAATGGATTTTACTAATTGGAACGATCAGACTTTTTTTTTGAAAAAAGCGTTCATAAGCGTTTTTAGAATTCTTTTATTTTTCTCTATTTTCCTTCATCCTAATAGGAAAAAATTACAAAAATTTTCATAAAAAAGTATAAATTGAAAAATTTTTTCATTTTTTCAAAAGAAATCCCGTAGGATTTTCCTTGTTTTAATATTTTTCATTCGTATATTGTAGATAGCTATAACGAGAAATGTTTTTAAATAGTCCCAGCTGTACGCTGCAGGCAAATGGAGTAGGAGAATAAACGGTTAACATTCAGTATTTCTCGTCCGTTGGTTATTTGTACTATTAGAAATTCTTGCCAATCAAAGGCTTGGAAATATAACTAGGCTGCTAGCATCTGCCTGTTTACATTGCAGCCATGCTCTCTGCATCCGTTTGCAGAATAAGCTTAGACGAGGGAGTATCATACCATTAGAATGCATCGAAAATAATTAAACGATTTTCATCTTTCATGTCTCATTTTTGCGTTATATTCTTTATTTTCTTTTGATTTTCATTTGCAAAATTATCTGAATAATATTTGCATGTAACAATTTATTGCCAATTGTATGGCTCGTTTGATATATAAAGATTTTGCAATTTTTGTTCCTGCGAATGCATATATGGCAATTGTTTAGGAAAAAATTTCTCTATAAAAAGGCTTAACGAAATTTTCGAGAAAAATTTATCGTTACGCGTCTCTCGCCCAAATGGCGTTTATTTAAGAAATCTATTCAAGCAAAGGAAGAAAAAATATAGCATAGACGTTGACAAAGGCGAAAAAAAGAAGAACACGCCGGAAGCATCGGTAGAAGCGAAATGCTTAACTAAATTTGATTTAAATGAGTTTATTTGCTAAAATGAAGAATTAATGGAAGGATTGATGGGTGGATTGATGGATGAATGGATGGATGGACAGATGGATTGTCTCGTCGTTTTGTGTTAATTCGCTGAATGGGCCGAACTGAAATTTTTCGTTCGAGAGAAGAATTTGCGTATGCTATCGACATTCGTTCAAACTTGTTCATCCTCAACATCAAGACGCGCTATTCCTCACATGTATAATATTAATATTTCCTCATTGCAAAGTTTAAAAAAAATTTCACTAGGTTAAACTAGTTTTTTTGAAATGAGTTTGACCATCGTTTTGTTGAGATTATATTACGTTCGGTCCATTGAGTCATTTTGCCCTTTAATTTAGTATATTTTCAGGAAAATCACGAAAATTTTTTATTTCTTAATATTTTAAGATGGAATTAATAATATTGTTTAAATATCATTTTTATTTATAGATTTATAGATTTTTTGGGAATCGAAGATTTGGCAAAAAATCCCTTTTTTATGAGAAAAAATAAGTAGTAATATCAAATAAATAATTTTATGAATGAGGGAAAACCATATGCGAAAATATTATTTACCCAATGCTTTTATGTACACATTTTTTCAGCATTCTCCTATTTTTTATGTTTTTATAATAGAAATGTGCGAATCGCCCTTTTTTAACTCTTTTTTTTCATAATATTCTTCGTTTCATAAAAGCAAAAAACAATGGATCATATTTAAATAATTCCATAAAAATTCTCATAAAAAGAAAATGATCGGTTTAATTTAATATTTATGAATATGAAAAAATATTTATAACATATTATTATATTTGTAATTATATTCTCAATTTACCATGAAATTGTGTTAAAATAATATTTTCGTTCATTTTTACTTATTAGAACAATTTTATCAGCATTTAATTCTTTTTTAAAGAATTAAATACTAATAAAGTTTTTTTTTAAAAGAGTTTTCACCATCACTGATTAAATTTGCTCGCACTGGACGAATATGCCAGAGAGTCCCTTGGCGATAGAAATAGAGGTGGGTTGTGAGCATAACCTGGATTTTTGGACGGGTTTATTCCTGCTGGAAATAGAACTTTAGTATCGGCGCTCTGAACCGAGCATCAACCCACCAATCCATCCTATCCCCAGTATTTAGTATTTACCATTTATTTATTTATTAGTACTGATTGAAGTATTTTTTAAAGCGTTAATCCTGAATGACTTATTTACAAAAAAGATTTGAAAGCAGTTTTATTTTATTTTTTTATGCTTCTTTATTCTTTTATAAAGAATGAGTGGTGCGCCAATTTTTCATAATATTCATTTATGGTTAATGTAAGCCCAATTTAAAATCGTCTGGTATGGAATGGAATTAATCTACTTATCTCTAAGATGCCATCCATTACTCATCATTTTTCGCATAAAATATTGCTTTGCTTATTTCATCATCGAAGTTTTCACCAAGTTGAGCAACAAAAATGGTGTATTAGTTGCGAGAAAATCTAGGAAGTAGTGGCTTAACGATGAATTGTGACGTGAAGAAATTATAGCGAGCATGTAAAGAAATAATGTAGTGGTCGATGGTCTTGAAGAAAATTGTTGATTAAGGAAGCCATGTAAAAGCTTAAAATACTGATTGTGTGGATGAAAAGAAGAGATTCGGAGAAATTTATTCAAATTTATTAAATTTAAAATATCCATAAAAGAATGAAATGGTGGAAATATCCAAATTTCCAATTATTTTTCCTGAAATTCTTTCTTATTCTTAGCGGATTTCTTAGAAAAGTTCACAAAAGAGTTTTTACAGTATAAATTGAAAATAGGAATTTAGGAAAGTTGTAAATTTAAAAGATTTTATGTGAGAAATTGCAGAAGGAGTGCCACGAATGGTGTTACTTCGAACACAAGGAGTACAAAAGGCGTTTCGACTTCTGGTGATAGTGGTATCAACGACGATAAACCCTCCCTAGAAGATGGAAGCAAACGAAAGTCGAGTTGCTCTGATCGTTCAAACGATGTTATTCTTTAAATTATTTCTTAAAATTTACTTATCATTGTTGTTTAATATACTGCAAAGCTTCAAATAAGTAATAAGTATTTCTGACTTATAATTTAGGATGAAAATGAAAAGGCAGATGTGAACTGCTGTAATTCTTATGGTAATTCAAAGGCGCTCGAACAACTGGAACAACTCATTTTGTCGGACGAGTGGATTACTAAAGAATTTATAGATAACCATCAAACAGCGAAGAACGTTTCTAGCTTGAGGTCAGAATAAATCATTAAATTTTTGGCCCCACTTCACTTTTCTGCAAAAAATTATGACTACACTAATTATATATTAGAAAATTTTGCGAGAAGTGAAAACATTCTCCCAAGTCAAAAATTTATGGATATAATCACAAAATCCATATATATTTCCTTCTCACCTTCTGTAGATGCGAGTCTTCCAAAACTCCGATTCCCTTATCGCCTGTATATGAGTTTAGTGTTATAAGTGAGCGGTAGGTTCGTCCAACTGCTATACTAAAATATAGAAAAATAATTATTATTGGATATTATTGATTGATTATCGATTACTGCTTCGTTTGGACATGCCAAACGATAAGTTCTTTTCAAATTTCCTGAAGTTTTCCCTTTTATTTTTCTCCCGCATTGTGTTATTATACGTAAATATTATTATAAAATAACAATATTATGCTTGTCGTTATTATTATGCTTGACAAGAGTAAACCTGTCATATCAAAAATGTCATATCCGATTGGCTTCTTGGGACCCATCTGTAATTCTATTCCTAAGTGACTATCTCTATGGTAAAAGGATCAGATGTTCTTGATGCGGCGTCTCTCCGACGCGCATGACACTCTCACTCCGGTAGTATATTTGATAAATACAATTATACAATTATTACAGTTATGATACAATATTACAATCCGGGCGTAAAAAGATCTCAAGGTTCATACATAAAATATGCTCGCAACCTAGGACAATTGCTCAGAACCTACAAAGAAAAACGGCTCTCTGCACGCGCGGCGAGGCATTAGCCGTATCAACATGGAAAGTCATAACGCCTATAGACATTCCGAGCCAAGCGATCACTGTCCACACCCTTTCTAAATATCGTATGAATATCGCTCGTTTGTCGAGGGTCCGTCTTTCTCACTTCAGGTTTCGAGCAATTAATCTTGGCTCCAAGCAGAGGTATTGCCTATATCATTGTGTTGTTTTGGAGGATGTAGTGGTTATCATGTCTGAAAAAGCTCGGTCCGCTCTGATTAGATGGAAGCTACTAAACGACTATATGGCCTATGCTTGCTTCAAAGGAGAGTTTTGGAATATCATAAGTGTATATGCTGTAGCAGATGACCGTAGTAAGGATAAGTTCTATGCGGAACTTCAATTGCTAACAACACCTCTACTGAAACATGACAAGGTAATCGGTGGGACACCGGAATAGGTGCTTAAGTCATGGTGCACCCATGATGACTTTGGCAATTGGCAAATATGGAATCGAAGTCAATGGGAAATGCTTTCTCTTTGCCGAAGAGCATAAACTTTCCGTTATTAATATAATATCAAAGATATCTAGCCACGTAGAACTTAACCAACAAATTGATTATATTCTAGTCAGTCGTTGGGAGAGCTTCGTATTAGATTGTTGTCTCTATCGAGGAGCTGAAACAGATAACTTTCATGAATCTGACCTTGTTATGGTTCAAGTTAAGATCCGCATAAAATTGGCAATTCGCAAGAAATAGCATTTCCCAAGATCTTTCAACTAACTCAAACTAAAAAATTCGGGAATAGTGACAGCGCACTTCAAACCGAATAATTGAAGCATCTTAATGGTATAAATATGTTTTCTGGAACGGCAAATAAATATTAGTCCAAACTGAAGGAATATCTCCGAAAGTCAACCACTTCCAAGCTAAAGCATACTAGTAGGAAGTGCACTAATTAAGTATCGGAAGCAGTTGTCCAATGTCTGAATCTGAACAGCTGCTAAAGCACGAATTTCAATAGATCCTGTCTACTGGATGCTTCGAAGAATTGTAACGACATTGAATTGTAATTATAATTGCAGCATGGCAGAATAGAAATCGCTATTAGAGCGACATGGCCTGGACATTGGAGACGGCAGTTCAATTAGGTGATAAGAGGAAACTATTTCGCCTTTTTCTTAAAGCAAATATAACTCGTGGAAGTAAAATGGGACCAATGAAAGCGATAGCAATAGTGTACCTACAAAGAGTATTAAGGATCATTTCATAAGATGGAATCCTTTAAGGCCAGACTTAATATGATGCGTCATCTGTTGATTGGGACGTAGCTGATACATTCGTCGAACCATACGTTTGCTGAAAACCGCTAACAAAAGAAGAAATAATCTCAGTTATCCATGAGCTTAGGCCAATAAGACTCCTGTAGAAGATGGTCTTCGGGCTGAACTCTTCAAATATTGTCCATCATCCTTCATAACGCACTTTCTACAAATTTCTGCTATGGAAGAAAGAAACTAGATGACTGGAGCAAAGCAATTCTCCCAATTTCTAAGAAAGGTGACGAGACATAATGAGACGATTATCAGGAAATCAGCCTACTAGAGCATTCAGGCCGGAGCGCGATTATGATGACCAGATATTCACGTTAAGAAGAATATTGGGAGATCGATTCAAATTCAAATATTTGCAACCTCTTACGTGTTTCATCGTCTATGCCTTCGTTTCAATTTATTCATTGGCACTTTGGAGAATGATGGAATGTACGGTGTTCCAGAGATAATCATTCGACTTATAAAGGCATTTTATGAAAGGCATTTTACGTACGTTGGCGCAGGTCTGTATATGTGGTGAATCGACAGACTTTTTCGAAATAAAAACTGGGTTGAGGTTGCATCCTCTCCTGTACGACATTCAACTGTGTAATAGAATGTATAATGGACACTGCTTTTCAGTTAGCACCCATGAGGCAGTCCAGAGCATCATTTCACAGGTTTTGAATACGCTGATGATGTAGTCCTTTTTGCTGACAGTTATGAAGATGAAATGCAAACAATGCTAAACAACCTGCAGCGAGAACCGAACTCAATGTAAATAAAGCGAAAAACTTTTCGTCTTATATAAGGAGCTGATAAAATACTTTTATAAATTCATTGCAATTTGAGGAAGGTTTAGATTAAATAGATTCACTCCAAATGGCCAGACAAAAGAAGAAATTATAACCCGGATAACTGCAGCTAGAAATGCGCTCTTCCGGTTGATAAAATCGGAGCTAAACCATAAAAATAAAAGTTCTATAGCCGCCATTCATTCGATCTAGCTATATGGCTGTGAATCATGGCCAATGAGAGTGGAAGATATTAAGAAATTATCGCCTTTGACCACTTATACCTAAGGTATATATTTCGCAGAGTGGACAAAATCTCACATAATCACATCCACCTTCTCAAGTACCACTTTCATTAAGATTACCATCACATTCTTCATCAGCCTTCGCTGATTAGGGCGCGCTTTCCGTCATCCACCACAAAAGTTGTCACATATTTCATAACTTGCTAAACTCTGTGATGGGTGGGGTCAAAATCGAGGTGGATCAGTCAAAACCTGGACTGATATGGTGAGGAAAGTCGACAATGGCATCAGATCGCGCAGCTTGGAAACACTTGTAGCCAGTGGAGCCAGCCTAACCACTAATGGTGATTGTTAGATGAAAAAGAATTCTAGGAGCTTAAAGTTTAGAGCTTAAGGATTCTGCACAATGCCTTAGCTGAGATCTCTGAATCCTATTACTGCGCTCCTCTGAACAATATGATCTCTCACATTGCTTTTGGAATTTGTTGCAATCACTTTTCCATTATTTTATTCATTAATTTCCAGTATGATCGCAGCCTCGATTGCTTTTAGGGACCATATTGGCTTTTTTTTTCCACATCTTCTCTAATTCATCTTTCAGGCTCTGATATTGCTCTAGTTTCTTATATTCCACTTGATATTCCTGTCAGTTGATATTGCCTACTGCATCTACCATCACGTTTTGTTTTCGTTCTTATCTACCCGATGTCTTGTTGATTGCTGGTACCTGTTTATCCGTCTGAACCGTAATAGTATTTAATAGTATTCAATACTTCACTGAACCCTATGTGAAAATGCCATTTTAATGTGATCAATATCTTTTATAACAAATTGGAAATACCACTGCTATGAAAAGATTTTCGTTTTTCATTTCATTTTCAACTTTTCAGAATTTAAAATTTGTTCTTAGTCTGGTTTTAGCCTTGTTATTTTCCACTCCTTCTATGGAATCCTCCATCTGGAAACTTGAAAAGGCTTGGCCCATATATTTCATAGTTCCTCCTGTTGACATTACTACTTGATTGTGCCGCTTCCTGTTTGTTTCTTACATCCTACCACTATATTTTAGACTTCTGTGTCTCTCCGTAATCATCTTGGCTCTTGCCTGGAATAGTAGACTCATTCATCCCATAAATATGGTAAGAAATATAAAATAACACGCTTATATCCGATATTTATTTATATTTTATGCTCAGAATAGTAAATTTTATGAATGTCTGGGAAAAATGATGAAAAAGTGGGAATTTCCCAAAAATTTACGAAAATTCTTATATCAGAATTTAAAATTGGTTTATATCTCTATTATTTAGTGTAAATCTTGGAGGAGGAAAACTTTTTTTATATTATATTTTATATTTTTTTATACTTTTGTATATACTATTATACTATTATATTTTTAGATTATTCTATTTTATAAAATATTTATAGATAAGGGAAAAGTTTTCATGAATTTTAATAAGGCTTCTGGCATAGGTTGTAGTAAAACTATTTAAAAAAATTAAAAGTTTCACTTTATTCTTTAAAATCCCTTTTGTCATTTATCGTAATAATCACTCATTGGTTGCTAGTAGTAGAAAATTCATTATTTATTTTTTATTTATTTAAAATTTATTTTTCATCTGTTCTCATTTATATGAAATTCGTTGATTTGTTTAATTTTTCAACCGAAGTAGTGTTTTATGAAACATTATTTCATCAAACTTGCCCTTTAACTTTCAAATATTTCAATAATTCTATCCCTTTAATCTTTCTTTTTGATGTAATTTTTTTTGATGAATAGGTGAAAAATAAATTTCATCTCCTTGAACTTGTGGAAAATTTGGTTTGAATTTTCAATTTGTTGTGAGGTTAAAAACTTGTATTATATTTATGGCTGAAACTTACAGAAATCGAAAAGAAAGTAGTCGTTTAACAGAATTAAGTCGTATTCTGATAACATCATCATCACTGAAAGCCTATATTGATCTGTTAGGACGAAATCATCGTCAGAGTATTGCTTCTTGGCTTTACGGAAATACATCACAAATCCTTAGCAGTCTTTTTCATTATCCAAACGGCAACATTTATTGTTCAGACTTGGAGAATACAGTCACAAATTCAGTTCGAAGCGGAATAGGTCAGTCAAAATTTTTTTCGAAATATTGGAAGTCGAGTTTAAAAAAAATTTTTTTTCGAAAAAATTGAATAAAAAACAGTGAAAAATTTATTTTTAAGGCCATTCAGTGAAATTAGCACTTCGTGATGTTTATGGGCCTGAATACTGCACGAAAGGATGGAAAGTATTTGTCGAAAAAGTTAGATTCATTTATTCGATTGAAAAAGATTTTTTAATGTTAGTATAACATTATATTCCAGAGACTTTTTTCATTATTTGAAAGGGAAAGGCGTGATATTGGAAATAATCTAAAAGTGCCTAAAGGAAAGAACGATCTCCAAGATGGTGATAGCTAAAACCCTAGAATTGGTAGTAAATCAGACCTGCTGGAGCATTATAAAAGATTCAATTTTGATTGAAGGGTGCACCTGTCGTTTATGTATCTCCTGGACTCCACATCGATTTATTGCCATTTTTAACTAATGAATTTACCATTTGCGATGTGGTTGTGCTGAAAAAGATTGAAGGAGAAGTATCTGATATTGAAGGTCGTATTGTAAGTTTCTTTAGTGTACTTTATGAATTTAATTTAATTTCATGGCAGTTATCTTTCATTTTCATTTGTTGGCATTGAGAAAAGCTTTTGAAATAGGCACGATGGTAAACATTCACGTTCAATTAAAAGAGGCTTGATTCTCCTCTTCTGATGTAAATAAACATGGTGCCGGATGGTGCTGAAAATCATTTATCTCCCAAATAACCCTTTAACGAAGAAATCTCATTCTAGTAGTAATCCGAGAATGGTGAAAGCTGTTAGACGAAGAATTTTAAAATCAATATTAAATTTAAAAAATTAATAAGAATCGAAAAAATTTAATTAAAAAATGCATGTAATAATCGCGGGAATTGCCAGTGACTCACTTCTATCTTAAGGAACTCCCTGTCTAATTTGTCTAATGCGACAAGCTAATGGAGCGAGTCTAAAACATAATGGTGAAGGCTTTAAAAAATTTTATGCATGATAAAATTAGACAAAATTTTATATATAAGTTATTAGAAAAATTATGCCATTTATTAAATCTGGAATAGAATAATTATTTAAGGATCATAATGCTTTCGAAAAACAATTGGAGACTGATATTAATGAAGGTAGAAAGCCACTTATTCTAATTGGCGTCGTCGGTTCACCCATTCTTGGTCAAAATGATATGATAAGTCGTATTATCGGATTGAAAAAATCGAAAGCACGATTCTGGATTCACATTGTTGGTCAAGTAATGAATATTTTATTTTGAAGCGTTTTATGGCAAATTATAAATTTTGTCTTTTTTCGGTAAAATATAAATTTCGAGAATTTTTGGCTGAGAAAAAAACATTTGAAATTTTTTGATGTAATCTTATTAAGGCTTTGGCAGCATTATGTATTAAACAACCTCCTGAAGTGTTAGTGAATGTTTTATCAGGAATTGATAGCATAACAGTGCCATTAGCAACATGGCTTGGCATTCATTCTGCGCCTGTTCTGGTTTGAATTCATTAAAATTATATGAAATCTGTCTTTGAAAGAGTGTTGATCAATTTTTTGCTATGAAAGCACAATATAAATCATTCCTTCCAAAAGGATTATTGAGGTTTAAAGTTACTTTAGACTCTGTATCGTACGGTGGAATCTTACAGACCAAGTTATAAAGAAAAGCTTGATACTCTTCCTTGGTGGATTACTGTCGAACATTTAACATCTTCCACAATCTCAAAAACTATTGAGATTGCATATATACTGGTAAGGTTAATATTATAAGGTTAATATTAGCTATAAAATAATGATCCACAAATATATTTCTTTTTATTTTTAGAGCAGAATGATGTTAAAAGGATTAGCATCTTTGCCACAAATTAATATCATAGGAATCGATAATCCAGTTGAATTCTTTAATCGAGTGGATAAAGGACAATATACTCCTCCAACTGTACTTGTTTTTCGATATAAGTATGCTGAACTAGAAGAATTTCGAAAGGTACCTGAGAAAATTTGGTAGTTTTTTTTATAGCTTTGTTAAAATCTTCAACTAATTTGAGAAAATTTATGGGCCGGAAAATGCTGGTGCTTTTCGGTGCATTTAAAATTCCCTATTGTTTTTTTTATTATCAGTTTTTTTTTCAATTTGTTTTGTTTATATTTTATATTTAAACTAATTTAAACTAATTTTAAATAGAATTTTGGTAATTAAAGGATTTTCTTCTTCTGAAATTTTCTATTTTAGAAAAAGGAATCGATGAATTTGACTGAAGAAAAGGGTGAAAATGGGCAAAAAAAGGCTCTCAGTGAAAATGACAACCATGGTGAAATTAAGGAAGAAAAGGAGCTTAGTGATTATGCCAATTCACTGAATTGTTGGGCAAGTTTTTTTACATTTGCTTTAGAGATTTTCTACCTTTTATAATAAATTTTTTTACAATAAAATAATCTTTCACGATAAATGGATTATGAAAGAATATTGCATTAATTCATGTGATCAACCTCTCAGCTAATTTCTTCGATTTTTTCGCTGCGGAATAGAGTTATGATTAGTTAAAACTAATTTATTTTAGCTTGGGCAAGGGTTAATAACAGATTGTCGACAACTTGGGTTGCAGATGGTTGAATTAAGTAAAAAACATGGGACTGGAATAAGGTTTTGTCCCTTGGAATGTTGTGCTGGTACGTTTACGATATTCTTATGTTTCTCTTTAGGGCTGAAAATAGTTGAGTGGCATTGATTGCTTCAACTTAGCGAGAAGAAACAATGTTCGGTCAAAGTTATAATCATACCATCAAAACCAAAATCAAAATAATTCTGGAAGAAATACTCGTCCCCTACCTCTAAGTGGCTCTCTGGCCAAATATTTAGCGGCCTAGCATTTAGATCAGCAGTGATAGTTTAAAGATTTAAAAGAATATTGAGAAAATCTAAAAGGTTTAAATAAGAAAGGAGAAAAAATGTTTTCAATCAACCATCTTTGAACGCATCTTAATGTTAGTTGTGTTTAGCGAACGGTGCTGGTCCGAATACGATTCAAAAGTTTCTAAAATCATTGAAAGGAGCGCTTAACATTGTGGAATCTACTATAGCTGCTAGGAAACGCTTTGTTGAATTGAAATCTAATTACCCATCTTTAATTATTTCTTCAATGCCAAAGTGGGCTGGTATCGGTGCAGTTTGGTGAGTGCGTTTTATAATGCCTTGTACCGATTTTACTCCGGAATATATCAACAGTTCTTATTTATTTCTTGTTTTTACTTAGTTCGTCAATTATAATCGTTATTTAAACTTTAATCCTAGAGTATTTACTGTTGATGAATGGAATGCCGTATTTTTTCATTTATGGAATTTCTTATGCACTCTGCTAGATTCATGGCATAATTTGTGTAATGATTCCCAATAAATTACTTTGAAAATTGTTTCAGTTATATCCCAACCATTGTTAAAGATACTGCTCCAGATAAATGGAATGAAAAGCAGAAACAACAGGTACCAATGAATTTTCACAAAACAAGTTTCATTCATTAATTTGTTGATGTATTACTCTAATTTATTACTCTAATTTCGCTTCGATTACAGGTTTCATATTTAAATCTCGAACTTGTTCATTCTTTGCGTGCTGTCGATTCAGCATTTTCATCGGATGAGAATAGTATTTATGGAGTGTCGTGTGTTAAATTTGGAATGATATCTGACCAGAAAGACCTCATTGATCTCATTAATCTCGTATCGGATAGAGGCAAAGAAATCGAACAGTCACAACAGGTAAGCATATTCTAAGTTTATTCTATATTCTAAATCAATATTAAATTTTTCATTAAAAATTTTCATTAAAAAGGAAAGCCATATCGGATATCTCTATTGTAAAATGAATTTATTTAAATTTTTGCTTGTGGTTCAGGTATTTTTTAGCAGATTTTTTTAATTCCATAATTTCAGTATATGGATAGCTTAGCGCAAATGATTTTACAAGGTATTGAAGCAGCAAATCAAGATTTGAAACGAGAAAACGATGAACGACTTATGCAAGAAGTACATTTTGTCTTCCTTATTTTCCCACATTTCACCAAAAAAGAAATTTTTGTAAAGAAAAAAAAAGTAGAAATATTTTTAATTTTGCCGAATTTCCTCAATGGCGAAATAATTTAGGGTGTTATGCGGCAAATACCACTGATGAGTTCATTGGTGAACTGGTTTTCTCCTTTAGACAAAGAAGTGCAAAATGTAAGAGGGAGATCGTTTGATCTGAAAACAGGTTAATTTGAAAATCAAAATTTAGATCGAACTGAAATTGAAAATATACAATGCAATCTTCGATTTTAAATTTTTCCATTTTAATTTCACTTCCAAAATGAATGGTGAATAATTTACTGACTGGATAGCCCTAAAGGGAAATTTTAATGTAGTTCAGTCCATGAATATTTCCATTGAATCCCCAATCAAATAAAAAATTTTGAATAATTTCTTTTAGTTATATAAATTTATTCAAAAAAATCTACTTACCCAATAATTGCGAGGGATGTGAGATTTTAAAAAATTTTTAATACACTGAAAATTTTATAGCGGTTTTGAAGTTTACCATCATAGCAGTTTCGGTATTATCGTCTTATGAATTTTTAAAATGATAATTTAAGGAACAATTCAATCAACTGACGTCTATTATAAGCATCGTTTTATGAATCAATCTACCGAAACATCACAAACACCTCATCAGTCCAGTAGAATTAAAAATGTGAAAAATTCCGATGTTGAAAAAAATTCGGTGAATGGTAATCGATCCTTTACTAATGAATTACAAGTGGTACAATAAATGGTGATGGTACGAATGGTAATTTCTACCATTTATAATCAATTTTTCTGGAAGAAATTCTTTCCTTAATTGCATTTTCGATTTGGTTGCCTCTACTGGCTATTAGCTGTTTGAGAAGGTGGTTCTTACCAACAACCATTTTTCATTTTCAGAGATCAGAAAATTACACCTGTCGAGCTCAACGAAAGTTGAACCCAAGAAATAAAAGAAAATTGGGATTTTTTGTGATATTTTCGATGGATTTTTACAAATTTAATGCGATAGATTTCTGCAGATTTAAAAAAAATTTTTCACCGAAAAATGGTATTCCACCAAAATTTTTCAAAAATTTATGGTGCAGTGTAAAAAAATTTTTTTATTGGAACGTATAGCAATTTTCTATTTCTGTGAACTCTTCAAATTCTGTGATATTATTAAAATGTTGAAAGAATCCAAATTTATGTTATTTTATTAACTATATGGATGAAATTTATCGTAACCTTTTAAGACGGAAAGGTTAATTTTGTTAACAATACATATCAATAATATGAACTTTTTGAACTATTTCTGAAGAAATGAGTTTGAAAAAAATTCAGAAGACATGAAATAATTGTTTATTCCTAGAAACGAATCATTAAAACGCGAAATAGAAAAATTCCTGACAATTTTGAAATTTTAAATTTTACAGTAATTCTGAATTCTTTAATTATTGTTGATTTGAAAATTCTGTTTGTTTTTTAAAAATTTGATTTTTTTATACGAATTTATATCGAAATGAATGATAATATTAAAAGAAATAATATTAGTATATATCATTTTCACAATAATAAAATGTATGGCACAAAAAAAGATTTACTCGCATGATTTAAAGCATCGAAAAAAGAAAAAACAAATAAAGGAAAAATTCGAGCCAGTTAAGACGAAAAACAAAAGACAACCCGGCATTATCGAAAAAAAGAAAATGATGGATTTTACAACGAAAAACAAGGATGATATGACGTAGAAAAGGCTTTTTCACTTTTTCCAAACAGTGTTGAAAATAATGCGTGGAAAGAAATTTTTCTTCATAAACGGATTTAGGAAAAAAATTATTGGACAGAGTCAGCCTATGTCAAAAATCTATTGAAATATTAGTGGAACTTTTAAACCTTTTTAGTTAAACAGCCTGTTTGAAGAAAATTCGAAAAAATTCGAATTAAGGGAAGCGATATTGCATAAATACAAAAAACAAAAATAATGTGAGAACACTGATCAAAATTGAAATTCGAAAAACATTAAATTAAATTACATAAATCTAAAATGAGCTAATATTGAATTAAAACAGTTTCTTTCTCATGGAATGAATGTTGCCGCGAACAACCATTTAATTTTTGTACAGATGAATATTACTCAACAAACAAAATTTCAATAAAAGGTTATTCACGCATGTTTATGCGACGGAATGCTGCTTTATGGAATTTCTTTCCTTTAATAATAGTTCTTTGAAATGAATTTCTTCCTGCTTCTTCAACTCTTTCATCGACTTCACTAATTAAGTTCCCGGGTTTTCAGTGCGACTAATAGATCTTTGCGACTACAAATCACTTCACAAATTTTGTTAATTGTTTAATTTTAGTCCCCTAATAAATTAAAGCGAAGCCAAAGCAGTTCCTTTCTTTTGTGACATGGAAGCATTCCTTTTTTCAATGGTTTCCAGACACAAACCGGAAGCATTCATAGAAAAAATTTTTATTTTTTCTACTATCAAATTTTTTCTATTATTAGTTGCATTTCTTGCTTTAATAAAGAAATTTAAAAAATCACCTTTTGTTTAGCATGAACTTTCGTATGGCGTTTTCGTTCATCGGAACGTGCAAATTTTCGACCGCATACTTCGCAACTAAATGGCTTTTCACCCGTATGTGTGCGAACATGAGTCGTTAAATGGTCACTCCGCGAAAATGCTCTCATGCATATGCGGCACTTAAATTTCATTTATTAAATAACTTGAAAAATTCATTCAACTAATAAATTCTTTTTGATATAACTTTTTAAATCTTATGAAGAATAATCGACAACGGAAAAAATGAAATATATGGTGCCAAAATTTCAAAACGGCTCTAAGACTCCTTTTTCTAAGACTAACTTGAAAAGGTTTCTGTCCAGTATGTATTCTGATATGCCTTGTTAATTCATCGGACCTCGAGAAACGCCTGTCACAGTCTTCTATAGGGCATTTATATGGTCGTTCATGAAGAGGCAATTTCGTAAGACGAGTTGGATACTTTCGAATTTTCGTTGAAGTGCTCGGACCTGCTGCAGACGCACTTGACGCACTTGTATTTTTGTGATCTTCAATTGACTGGCTGCTAATATTTTCGAACTCTGGATAACCTTCTAAAAATTATTTTTAAATTTTTTTTTGCTCATTTTTATTCATCTACAGTTACTCTTTATGCTAAATGAAAAAAAAAAGAAAAGTAACGAATTTTAAAACAAAATTTTTATTAACAGAATAAATTTCTCATCACGACATAAAAATTCAAAAAACTAATAGCTTCATAATTTAAGAACAGAAATAAAATAGAATTTTGAGGAAAATTCTAAATATTATATACTAACCAAAAGCTACCGATGGTTGGTAGTAATCATCGACGGGTTCAAGTTTAGGTCGGAATTCTGTCCTAGAAATTCATCCTTTCTCGAATTCATTCTTTAGGTATTCAAGAGTTCAAGCCAATTTTACAAAATTTTTTTAAAATTTTTTCTAAAAAATTTTAAAAAATTTTTAAAAAAATTTTTCTCCTCTTTCTCCTTTTTAAAATTCTTTAAAATTCATTTTATATTGAAAAAAACAGGTTTAAAAATTAGAAAGGCTAAAATGCCAAAAAAAAGAAACTAAGAAAATAGAAAAATATGTGATCAAAAATTAATTTTTGGTGATTTATCAGTGTTCACTTTTCCAACTTGTAAAAGAATTAAATTTTAGAAATAATTTTCGGAACAAAAAGTCAAATGAACTGAAAAACATATTCGATAGGAAAATAAAATGTGATAAAATAAAATAGAATGGGGTTCATCATCATAAATATGATGATGGAACAGGTCGAGCAGTTAATGCGCCTCGAATGAAAGGTTCAGCTCCGCTAACCACACAAGTGATATTTAATCTTTAATCTGCACATGACAAAAATAATAAACTGGTTAGCGTCCAATATTTCTAGTTAGACTCATGCAGTTAGCTATCAGAATGATAAGGAGTTTTCGCCAGAAAACCACTTGGCGAAAGAAGCACAAACCCTTTATTTTTGACGCTCGACGATAGTCGAAATAGTAATCACTCTACTACATCCGATTATAATGAAAATCAATATTCTGCAATATTTTCTTGTAATTGACTTACTTAAATGATGTCTGTGATGAACCTTGGCTAGCATTTGGAGTTTGGGTTCGTAAAGTTTGCGATGGAGAACACTGAGCTGGAGCACTACTTGAAAAACTGCAGGTAGAATAATGTGACCCTTGGGATGATGATGGAACAGGTCGAGCAGCTAGTGACTGTGCACCTTGAATGCATGGTTCAGCTGGACTAACCATACATGTAATATTCTGTTGAATCTACATATGACAAAACTGTTAAATAAATTAGATAATTTAAAAAAATGATAAAATTCTCAGTGTAATTTATCGCAATATAAAGTATTTAATTTGACCACATTACCAACGTTGTAATTAAAAGTTCTAGTGATGCTAGAGATTCGTCCATATTTCTACCCCTATGAAGATCTCTTAGGAAAAAGCCAAGCTATGAATGGCGAATGAGTTAAGAGGAATAATTAAAATTAATTTTTCTGGAACGTTATTTAATTTATTATATAGATAGTTGCTTTCCAAACTTTCCACATTGCCAATTCAACTTTTAAAAACCCTACATGATATTTCGGATTGTGAGCCTGAGTTGAAGTGCCCGACAAATTAACTGGATGCGATGAGCAAGTACCACGTGCGTGATGATGTGAATAATGCAAAGAAGAACAAATTGCTCCACCAGAAAAACCATTTTGATTTACACCAGAAGGACCTGGAGGTGGTGTACGACGAATATTCCCACCGCGATTAACCTTAAGCAAGTATCGGTGACAATAATTATTTTTTTATTTTTGATGCATTTCTGATAGAAACTTCAAACATCACTTAGAAAGAAAATTTTGTTTTCATAATTTTTTTTTTTAAATAAGCGTACTAAATTATATAAATCAAATATAACTTGTTGATATTCAGAAGTAAGAACATGTTGTGAGCCTGATGAACATAATGTCGACGAAGTCTGAGAAGAACTGCTCGGAATTATGCCATCCTTCTTATCTCGTAAAACCTTTATATTTTATAAATGTATTTGTAAATATTATAAATATTTTATAAATATATTTTTTTCGTTTTTACCCACATAAATAATATTATATATAAATATCCTCATTGCTTATAGAATGGAGTCTCAGAAACTAAAAATATTAAAAGACAATAATTTATCATCCGCTCGAATAATAAGATCAAGTTCCAGCTAAAAGACCAAAGCCAATTTTGATTTGCTGATACTCGTAACACGGAAATCTTATCGCAAAAAAATGAAAATTTGAATGATAAAAATTATGTTAAAAACCTTAAATAAATCGGGAGTATCAGTAGCACCAGGCGTTTTTGCATTTGAATCGAGTACAAGTAGAGGAAGATTCGTGCCAGTTTGTTGCGATTTGGTAATTGATTGCAAAAAATGTTCGACCAATGGAGAAAATTGGAACATTGATGCACTAAGACCTACAGAAATAAGAGTTAAATAAATAATAAATTCATGCAAATTTAAAAATTTCGTTAGATATCCAATGTTTTTGAGCGATGATAATTACATCGAAAATTATAATAAATAACTCAAAAGCTAAATATGTTCAGTGGATAAACGCACAAATAGAAAGATCAAGAGAGCGATACCGGGTGAATTAACGTTTTGAGTACCAAAAGTACTGATGCTTGTACTAATACTTCCTTTGAATGTGATTGTGGCTTTTTGATCTTTAGTATCATTTTGATTTACTGCTGATGTTGAAGCACCTGAAGGACCTCAATCCATTATAAAAATAAGCATATCGTAAAATTATTTATAAGCGACAAAAAAATTAAAAAATTTATTAGAAAATTTCATATTTCAATATTTCATAGCAGTTCAAGAAATTGAACATATTTTTGTTTGTTATTTCTTAGAGAATTCTTGTACGATTTCAAATCACTATTGCTTAGCAATATTAATTTTTTGAAGCAATTTTAAAATCTATTCCAATCCAAATAAAAAAAATCTTCATAATTCTACTAGTTTGATTTAAATAAAAACTTCAAAAAAAACTAAAAAAAACTTAAGAAAAACAAATAAATGATTTTGCCTGAAAGATGGCTGCCTGTCAACGTTGTTTCTGGTAATATTGTTGATATCTCTATATTTGCTAAAAATATTACAAAAAATAATTATTAAAACCGTAATTTTATTGTAAAAAAGAAAAGATTTGTGAATAAAAAAAACAACATTAGTTAAATTAGTTATATTTAAAAACCTGAATTTTAATAATGATTTCTCGAAAACACCAAGAAAAATTAAATTCTTAAAATTAACAATTTTTAAATCGAATCTGAATCCATAACCAACTGGGAAATTCTCATGATAATTTTATGATAATTTTAACTTTTTTGTCTTAAGAAATGAATAGTTTAAACAATCAATAAGCAGTAAGCATTAAGCAATACGCGCATCAATTGATTTGTTCTAAAATTAATAATTACTATATTATATTACTATATTATATCACTAATATAACGAAAGAAGATTAAATAATTAATTAAAGTACATTTTAGAAATCCCTATGACAATTTCTGGAAATTCTTCATTTATGAACGAAATAAAATGACTATTTGCATAAATATGGGAATTTAAATATAAGCAAGCTTTCTCACCAGTTAATAAAGGTTCATGTTCACCAAAAAACGCTTGAGTTTGATTATTCGATGAATAAGAATTAAGACTGAATTTTGGTGTAGTTAATTCTTCACAATGACCAATAGTAGAAAGTGGTCCTTTGGTAGGAGATCCAAGTAAAGTTGGTGTCTTTAATGCCACTTCGCTATTGCCAAGTATTGTTGGTGTTTTTAAACTATCATTATCATTGAGACTTAGTCCAACAGGTTTCATATTACCGTTTAATGTAACCGGTTTATTATTTACAATTCTATTACGAAGGTTATGATCAGATTGCTTTACTTCTACAACAGTTGAAGCCTGGAATTTATCTGCCTGTGCTGGCATTCTTTTCCAAAGTATAGCTCTGATTAAATTCAGAATATACAATCTGACTGGTACTGAAATTTCGTCGTAAACTATATTCGATCGTCCATAACGATATAATTAATTTATTAATTAATTCGATTGTAAAATGAATGAAATGGAAAATGGAAAGATGATGAATTATTGAAAGATTCGTTAAAAAAAAAGGCAAAGCTAAATGTGGAAAATAATCAAATGAGAAAGCCTCAATACAAAACAATAATGCTAATTCGTACAAATAAACACGATTCTTCGTTTTTCAAAATCAAATTCTTCAAAGTTCTTTTCAGTAAATTGCGTTATTCAATAAATTTAAATTAAAAACATCTGAAATAACGAAAAAAATCCAGGAACAGCAAAGAAAATACAAAAAAGAAATATTGGCCATAAATTTTAATCAATTAATGAGTAAAAAATTTTCCTCTTTTTCACCATCCTCTATCTCTTCTTTTCTCATTTGATAAGAATCATTTATCAATTGGCAGAAATGGGTAACGAAAGAGAGGAGAGGAAGGAGGAAGGGAGGAACGGAGAATAAGGAGTCACAAAGTAACAATAATATTTCGTTAAATTAAATTGTAAATGATTAGTTGAAGGACAAACAATTTTTAAAATTTATTTTAAATAAAAATAATCATTTCAAAAAGAAAAAATTAAAACCAACGCAATTAAAATAAATAAAAATTTAATGAAGAAACAATTCACCCTCTTCTTTGCTTTCATTTGGCTTTCTTTGTCATCGTCTAACTAACTTTTTCATTCATCTCTACGCACTCTAAGAATATTATTATTATTAATGAAATGGAAAATATAAATGCCTTAAGAAGGGAACGAAAGAACCAAAAACGTATAACTTACTAACTGCCATAAACGAGTTTTAATTCTAATTCTAAAATATTCCAGAAAATATCATACAAAATGTCTTTCTTTGTTAAATAATTAAAACTAATAATTAATAATTAAAATTTATAAATTACCGCAAAATTAATATTGATTTTAAATATTCTTTCAAATGAAAATATGAAAAATTTCGCAGAAAGTAAGATGAAGATTAGTGTGGCGAATTTGTATTACCAAAATATTTTTATTAAATATGAAAAGAAGAAAAATAAGCGATGAAAAAAAGTAGAAATATGCAAATAATTATTTGTTCTATAAATTAAGATTAAAATAAAAATATGAAATTTGCAAAAAAGATAAAAAATAACATTTTCACCTTCTAACAACTTTCTTGATTTGGCTAATAATACTCGGTACTTTAAAAGTATAAATGAATCTTTGTATCACCATTCGGACTTTGCTTCCATTTACATATTTTCATATTTTCTTCAAAGGTTTACTTTCATCAAAGAATAGAAAACCTTAATTATAGCTTAAAAACCTATTCGAAATACTCACTATACTTTATTTCATTTCATTTATTTTTGGGAATGAATATTGATGAGAAAAGAATTGAAATATAAATAAAAGAAAGCATTTGAATCGATAACTCAATAATTTAATAAAAAAAGTCACTAAATTAAGTGAACTAAGAGGAAAATGAAAATTCAAAAGAATTTATCGAATATTATCTTTTTTTAAAAAAAAACTATATATACTTAAAGTATTTATATTCTGTGCAAATGAAATTTGCGCAATTTCTATTGCTATCTTTCATTTGAGAGGTAGTTTGAGCAAGAATTATAGATAATTTCCAAGTGGTTTTTTTTAACTGATAAGTTTACTCTTATCAAGTGTGAAGGCCGAAACATGTTTGAAACGATAATCTAAACCAGTGATCATTAAACCGACTAGTGAGAGATTTCTATTTATGTTTCTATTTATTTCTATATATATATTTTTATTTTTTATATATTAATTTCACAGGCAAAATATTTCTAATGAGGTTTATATATTCATTCATTCAAAACTCTTCGAAAAATTTAAAATTAAAATTAAAACATAAACGTGTTCCACTGAGGCGATGGAAAAAAGTGGTGTCAACCACAAATCTAAACGATAGAATAAACTACTCGGCTCATAGCATCCTCCACTCGGTTTGCTTTTTCGAAATTAATCATTTCTCATTTCTCTCGATAATTCGTATTGGGCTATAACAATAATTATAATGCTTTATAATTGATGAAAATGCAGTCAATTTCGGTTTTTAACGGAATTAAAGAGAAAAATTAAATTCCCATGTGAAATTTTCGAGTTATGCTATATAATATATTATACTATATTATATATTATATACTATATTTATCTTTATTTATTATATTAATGAAAGGGAGAATTGATTCAAAAATGCATTCGAATAATTTTTTGCTGCTTCAGTTACTAAATGAAAATTGAAAACTTCAGAGATCTCTTTTGTTTTTTTTATTTTCCTTTTTTTTAATGCTGACTACTTTGCAAATTTGATTTATTTATTCAATTCCTTTAAATCTGAGTTTCTAATTTTATTTAGAATAAAAAAATTGAACTGAAAGTAAGGGTGATCCTCACCTGTATTTCTTTCGTCAAGCCCTTGGTAAAATTTATCTGATTCGATAAGTCAGCTGAGCAGAGTGCCTAACCGGAAATGCTCAAAATTTTCAGAAAGAAAACATAAAAAAGGAAGCAAAAGCACTTGAAGATTTTGAAGATTTGATTTATGAGAAATAAAATGAATTTAATAAAAAATAAATATAAAAATATAAATAATATAAAAAAACAAAAATAAAAAATAAAATGAAAAAGTTTCTTATCGTAAACAACTACAATATAAATGCCATGCTAATTCAGTAATCGTCATTTTCTTATGGTCAGTAAATTAAGGAATGAGATTGTGAATAAAATTTCAGATTTTTCAATTTTAAAAACAAATAAACAGCCAAATAGCTGAAATTTGGCAAATGATTGACCGAACTGACCGAAACCGAAATGGTACGAAATTAATTTGCATGATGATTTTCTCCAACAAAAAAAAAGTAACAACAAGAATTTCTGTTAATGCAATCAATTAAAAAAAAATTTAAATTTTCAAAATTCGAGAAATCGAGAGGAAACGCCTATTTACAATAATAATTTAATGCAAATATCATCGGTTATAAGCAAAAATAAACTTATAAAAATCCAAATCAGCTGAAGTTTCTGAGAAAATAAAGAGCATTTGAACGGATTTATCGCAAAAACAAAAAATCATAAGGGACCACTTATTCCTTTTAGCGAAAATAAAGTTTACAATTTTTTATTCGAAATAATTTTATGAAAATAGAAATAAAATGTTTTCAAATTTCTAAACGAGATATAGGCGATTAAAAATCTCAAAACTGATTAATAATAAGGGCAATTGGAAATTTAAAAAAGGTTCTAAATTTAATATTAAAATATTTAAAATATTTTCAGGTGTTATACGATTGAAATTGAGATCGTTTTTTGAGATAATAAAGAATAAGCGAGCAATAAAATTTCCAATACGATAAATATAAAATTCAATAATTTTTTTTTGAATTTATTTATTTAATTTACAAATTTTTTAATTTTATTTGAATTCTAAAGTTGAGAAAATTTTAATTTATAAAGAAATTTAATATCGGTAAGTAAATGAAAATGAGAGTAAAAAATAAAATAAAAAATTAAATAAGGCGATTATTCGAAGAATTTATTGAATTAACTATTAATAAATTTTGAAATTAAGTGTAGCCGAACTAAACCTAAGTCAAGGATTTTGAATAATAAGATTATTAAAGCTAATGCAAGCATAAACCAGCAATAAAAGATGTTAGAAGAAGAATCTCACAAGAGGAAGAGGTAAATTAAATTCTGAAATATTCAACCAAAGAAATGAGCAGAAGAAAGTGAGTTATAATTTAAGTTTCAATGGAATTTAAGTTTCCTTAAAATATAATTTTTCTATCCGCAGTAATATTTCGAACAGTATACCTTATTAATGATCAGTTAATATATATCCCACAAAAATATATCTCCCACAAAAATCCCACAAAAATCTATGAAAGACTTGATAAAGTCAAAATTATTTTTTCTTCCATTTTTTCTTCTCACTTCTATTTTTATCAATAGAAAAAGGAGATAATCCATCCAAAGAATTACAAATTATACTATACTACGTATGCCCATCGCAGGTGATAAAATAACCTATGATAAATCAAAAAATTGTTAAAAGGCAGATTTATTCAAGAAAAAAAATTAAGAAACGTCATCAGCTAAATGAATAGGGGTTATTGCTCAGAATATTGCTTTTAATATCCAGCTGCGGACTGAATTCTCCGCAAGAATAAAATTTTTTCCATAAAAAATCCGGATGGGGCTGGGAATTCACCTATATTCCTAAGTGAATTCCTAGCAAAAACTTCCCATCATATGAACAAGTGAATGAGTCCAACTCAAGTAAGGCTAAACTTTTAAATACATCGAAAATAAACATAAAAAAAGGAATAAAAAACGAATCTAAATAATGATTAGATACGAACAGCAAAAAAGAAATAAGGTGAAAAGTGCTTTTTATAAGTTTTAGAGATTCAAAATAAATGAAATTGGCAAATAAAAAAATTAGCAAAGTAAAAAGTATAAGCGAAAGAGATCGAAGAAAAACAAAAAAGAAAGATTTCAGCAAGTCAGGATTTATCGATTCCTTATCAACTGTTCACCACGCAAAGATCTGATGACATTAAATTTAAATTTCAGTAAAACAACGATGAGTGTCATATTCTAATGCGAATAAAATAAGTACGCTAATTCAGCTAAACTAACTAAAATCTACAAAAACAATTTTTTTTCACAAACATTTCCCATAATTTTAGAAAAATTCTTAACGTTCTTCAAAATAAAAATTTCTTTCACAAAACCCAATCGATTTCTAAAGCAAATAAACCATATTTATTTGTAAATTAATAATTATAATTAAAAGCCTTTCGCTAATAACATAAAATGTAGGTGAATCCCAAGAATCATTGGGATTTCATTTTTAATTCAGTTTAGTCCGAACGAGGGAACGAGTTTGCATATTTTTAATTTAGCAAAGCTATTTAAATTTTTAAGGAGTCGGCGATAAGAAATCTTGTTAAAAACAAAGCACTTAGAAAAAATTTAGACATGAAGTCAACAGTTGTTTTCAACCATTTGAAAGGACCGAAAAAAAGTTGCCTAAAATTACTGAAAATAGAAAAAGGATGTCTCCTTATAGGAAGCATTCTTACATAGAATGCTATTTGGAAAAAAGGATAAGAATGGCAATTTTATTTGTGTTCACTAAGAGATATTGTAATTAGTTTTTTATTTCTAATTTTATTTTATTTCTAGTTTTTATTTCTAATTAATAGATATTAAATTTCTAAAAAAAGAGACATTAGAAAAATTCTAAGGATATATTAAGGATTAAAAAATTATAACAAATTTTGAAATATTAGAGATATAAAAGAAAAGAAAAGGGAGAGAAAAAACAATGTAATTAAACGTTAAAAAAGAAGAGAAAATTTTTATAAATTTGAAAATGAAACTAAAATTTTTAAAAAATTGCATCCAATTTAAAAAATCCAGAAAAATAAAAGAGAGTTCAGAGAATAAAGTAATAAAATTTACTGGAACAACCAAGCGATCGAACGACCGGTTTTGCTTGGACTTGACAAGTCTTATTTTCACTTGTTTAGTTTATTTCAATAACTTCATTCTCCAACAATTTTTAAATAAAACATAAAGTTGCATTCAATGCGAAGGAATTCAAAAATTACAGGATGATTTTGTTTCTTTCTTCCTCTTCTAATTATTTTTTTATTATCTTGGCTAGCTCCACTGATTGCCTCTCGCCTGAGGATAGGGATGGAGGCAAGTCTATGTTATTTATCGACCGAATTTCACTTTTAATGGCAGGTTTACATCTGTCAAGGGAAAGGAATCGAATCTTGATGACGACTTGGCCTAAAGCAATACACCAATCAATCATCCTATTTTGATTTTACTAGCAAATTTCATGAACATTTATAAAAAAATTAAGAAAATTAGAAAAAAAGATTCTGAAAAAAAATTTCATAGAATTTTAACGGAAATATAAGTAATTCTACAAACGCATTTAAACAGAATTATTAAAGAGAAAATGGTGATGACACTGGTGACTGATAGTAATGGTATCAATGATAATAATAATAATAGTAATAAATATAGTGGTGATAGATTTGTTAGTGATTATATTGATTAAGTGACTATTGGCTGAATAATGGCATTTCGGTACAATTCTTTTGCTTTTCTGGACAAAAGTAATCATCATAATGGCTGTCGGATTAGAAATACAGCTAATGTTGCTCATTGTCTGATATTAGATGATTTTATTAAAAGCTGCTCTTATTCTTTACACTAAATGTATATATTTATACACACACACATACACAAAGATTGGAAAAACGCATATACACCCTTCGTTCGATATCTTTTCGTCGATGTCTTTAACTATTCCTGTTACATCATATTTTTCTCGAATCTTTTATTCTCGACAAACAAGCAGCAACTCAATATTCTCAACTCTTTTTCTCCACTAAAATGTCCTTGCGCTCAACTGAACGAGATTTTCTTCGCCGATTTTCGGAGAATAATTCTCCCTCCACAAGCACTTCCACAATTTATTAAGAAAATCCGAGCATTATTATCATATGCTATTAGTATTATTGTTATTATTGTCATTATTATTCAAATATCTGCTTGACTACTTATGTCACTTAATTCATTTTCCGACAATGAATAAATAATAATTAAGCTGTATTGATATAAAATTTGAGAACGATCATTTCATACAACAAAATTTCGTCTTATGAGAGTACCAACTGTCCAGTACTGTGGTGACGAACAATAATCGAACAATGCAGTTTCGATTACTATAAAGTACTATAAAGCACATCTCTTTTCGATTTTCCGGCAATAGCTTATTGAAAATTATAAATAATGTGGCAAAGAAAAATCAAAAAACTGTGGTTCGCAGTACTTTCACTTGGAATTGAATGAAGGAAATCCTTAGAGCAAAAATTCAAAAAAAAACGAAACTGAATTTTCCAAAAATTGTTAGAATTACATAAAGTTATTAGAATTTTGGGTATAAAAAATTTTATATCGAATATTCAATAACCAATTCATAACAAAAATTTCTAATAATGAAAAAAATTTTAGAAATTATAATTTCAGTAATATTAAATGAGTAGAATGGCGCAGGGAATTATTGCTCTCAGTTCGCAGCAACGATAAACCTGTCAAAAATTCGGGTAGTATGTACTCCAAATGATTCTCTGGTAGATATTTACCTGGTCAGAGGAACTAGCAAAGCGAGTCTAGCCAAAAACGGGCGCTCTTTGAAAAAAATTACAAAATTAAGGCAAGTAAAAAATAAGTAAATTCGGAGATTTACAGAAAATTTTTAAAAAGCTCAATATATTCACGCCTTTCTTCATTTATAATTCATATTGAAAATTTAAGTTAAAAAATAACTACTGAAGCAAAGGAAAAAACAAAAATTCTGCAACAGTATTTCAGAATTATAGAAAAAATATTTTTATATTTATTAAATATTTTTATATTTATTAAATTTATTAAATAAATTTAATAAATAACAAGAAAATTTTTCTATCTTTTATTTTTATAAATATAAATAAATTAAAAATTTTACAATTTGTTAAAAAATGGTAAAATGGTAAATGATAAAAAACTGGAAGATCTACGCTCAAAGCACAAATAATATTTTTGCATCGATATTTCGATAAAGTTCGATTCGTATCACTGAATAGACCTGTTATTAAAAGTAAAATCAAGGTGCCTTCTGGAAAATCACTGTTACTAAGTGATTCTCTGACCAAAGTGTCTCATCCTAAAAGAGGGCGAACTAAACAAGTTATAAAAGCTGGTAAAAGGAAAAGGGGAATCCATTTTTATAGCTTTTCTGTCTATATTTCATTATTATCATCTTATTTTCGTCAAAATATTTAAGAATTAAAAAAATATTTTCGTGAAAAAAAAATTATCTCAAAAAACTGCCCTTAAAGCAACGACGGAACTGAATGAACTGAATGAATGAAATAAAAGTTATTTGAATTTTTAATTTTATAAATGGAAAAATGAAAAAAATAAATTAACCAAACATGTCAGAAATAAAATAAAATATTTGTGCAGAAGATAAAATAAAAATAATAAATAAATAAATAAAATCGTTTTTGAGACGAAATTTATCAATAGCTTCTGCACAGTTCTATTGCAAAAACTAGTTCGCTTTTTTGAAATTTTTTACATGAATCATTTTCTTCTTTTTTATCATGAAAATTTACATTGAATTGAAAAAAATTTGCACTATTTAAGAAATGATTTATTGTTCGAATTTGCATAGCAAATAGATTTTTAATGTTTTCAAAAATAACACCGATTTATTTACGAAGAATTTCTACAGTAAAACAAAAATTCTCAAATGAATTTCAAAATCCGTAATCAAAGTAAAAAACAAGCTCTTACCATTTTCGATTAGGTTAACTCTGCTAGCTGTCAGTAAGAAATTTAAAATTTTCACCACTTGGCGGTAGAAGTATAGATGGGTTGTCAACTCTATCCGGATTTTTTAAAGATAGATGATTTTTCTGTAAAAGGTAGCGAGCCGAACCAATGATGCTCGACGCAATCAGCTAACCGCATAGCCAACTGCTCACTACTCTACTTATCGAATCGCTACTTATCGAAATGTATTCAGGAAGTTTCAGAAAGGAAAGGTGAAAAAAGCGAGTGATCGTTAGAATTAATGAGACAGTTAGTTGGTATGAATTATAGTTATTAATAGCAACTGATCAAAAAAGGTTCCATATTTTTTCTCGCCTAACAGCTTCTGCACTCTTCTAAAAAAGAATGATTATTTCGAACTGTAAACAAATTTTTAATTAATTGAAAAAGAATTTTTTATGCAACAAAAGCGAATCAATAAAATAAAATAACGTCATCGATAATAAATAACAATGATAAAGAACGATGATAATAAATTTTTTAATCGGCAATACTTCAAAAAAAAGAAAAAAACTAATAAAATTGCAAAAAAGTCCAAAGTTTAGTTTTTTTATCTAAAAAAAACATACTTAAAAGGAAAACTGGAAGAAAAAATTTCGGTAATTGTAAATGCATCAAAAAATGCTGAATTTTAGCGATATTAGTAAAAATTTTGAATTCAATATCAAACATAAAAAAGCAAAACAAAATTGACCCATCTGATTGTGAAATAGCATTGGCTAAACTGGAATTAGCCAAGAAAAGTACATAGTGGGTCCGGTCAAGCTTACTTAGCACGATGAGAAATTTATTAGTTTTTTATTGTTAATAATGTTTGTTTTTATTATAGTTAAAAGGTCATGACTAATTATTCTTATTTTATTATTACTATTGTCACAGTACTATCGAAATTTATTTATTATATTATTTATGTTCAATGCAATTTATTTCATCTTCGCAGTTATTTTTGATGAAAAACAGAAGAAAATCAAAAAAGGAATTGCAGAATTTGGAAAATTTTTTAAACATCCTAAATTTCTCCTCCTCCAAAATATGATAAATACTTAAAAAAACAAGGTGTAATCAATTATTCGATATGTAAAATAATTCAGTGATTGATAACAGGCATTAGGTAGACATTTTGTTCATCAAATACTTTAAATAAATTGCAAGAAAAAAGGAAGCATAGACAAATGAATTATAGAATGCAGGAAGATTTTTTCAAATTTATTCTGGCAATATTGCACGAAGATCTTGAAAGTCTCTTCTCCCATGGCCTTCTTCTTTTCCAGTGGGCACTCATCATTTCTGATTTCGCTGGCTCAATCAGCCATTCGTATAAGTCATCAGAGAGTTAGTTGTGGATAGAAGCGCTCAAGCATCTTGCTTTTAATGAATGACAGCTTTATCTTAGCCGAAGTCGAATATCAGTGCTATATCGTTCGTTTCATTAATTTAATTTATCTATGAATTTTAAATGAAAACAAACTGCTTATTATATCATAATTTATATTTTGAATTACAATAAAAGTTGCAGAAAAAGCTGAATTTCGAGTTTTATTCGTTTTTTGTTATCATGCCTTAATACTTATAAAAAATTACTCTATTGAAACCTTAAACCTTTATACATTTATACACATTACTTATAGATTCGATTTCTAAGTGGAGTAAACCTGTGATCAAAAGTGATGTCGCATTTACTGTTATGCATATATCAGTAATTTGGTCCTTCTCCAGAAATCTCTGGAAATTAATGCTGCAGAAGAAAATGAACTACTTGCACTTATGCGTTTCGAAAGAAACAAAGCAGTGGAAGAACATAGGAACAAATTCATGAAATTCAGCAATGAAATATTTATAGAGATAATTAAAAATATATATAAAAGTAAATTTGCAAAAAGAAACCAAATCTTAAAATAAATTTTAGGCTAACTGTTAGAGTTAGAAATTTAAATTAAATTTAAGTGGATAGAAATTTAAATTTTTTTTCTGATACTTTTCATGATTTTACTTAACTCTTTGAATTTCACTTCAAATTTTTGTGCAACAAAAGTGGGTATAAAACTGATCAAACAGTGATTCTGCAAATGCAATATTTTGCAGAATTTTGGAATTTTCCACTTTCTTTTCTTAGCAACTTTTTATCTAAAAATGAATAGTTTTATTTAAAAAGAAGTTGGTCAGAATTTAATTTTACCATATTCTATAATACTAAAGGTGTTCCCTTTCCTTTAGCTTTCTCCCCTCTTTCATTTATCGTTTGCACGAAATATGTAAACAGTTAAAGGGCAAAAAATAAGAAAAAATTGTAATATTTGCCCAAACACAGAATTCGACAAAAACATTGGAAAAAAATGAATTTGAGGTAAAAAATATGCAAATTCTCATTTTACATTTCATGTGACATAATAGAAATTCTATAGAAATTGTTGCACGTTATCAATTTTTAAAAATCATTTCTCGGACCTTTCTTTTTGCACCTTCTAAATCACCATTTACTCCATTTGCTCCATTTACTAATAATGTGAAACTGCTTTGCCAATGTTTGATGAAAGAATGTGTAATAAGTTTGCCACTACTTGACGGTTATTTTTTTTTCCATTTTAGATAGTTGCTATTTTACGAAAAATTATATAAGGAAACTAATTACTCCCCGCTTTTAAAATTAGCCAATCTGTCAAATAAATTAATCATTGCTACAAAAATTCTATGCTACAAATATTACGCTACAATTTAGTCTAAAACTTTTCAAATCATAATTTTTGTATTAAATAAATACTGAAATTTTGTAATGTTCTGAATTCTGCCAGGAAAGATTATTTCCAAAAAAAGAAATCGTTAGTACCATTTCTGATAATATTTGAAAGTCAGGAAGGAAATGAATTTTACCACGAAAAAATTCTCATTTAATTCAAAAATTCTCATAAAAAATTTAAAATATTTCACTACTCAAATAAAAAGCCGATACGATCCAATATTTTAATTAAGAATTAATTAATTAATTAAAAAATTTTGAAATTGTTTTATGAGATAATCAGAAAATAAATGTAGCTTATTTTCTTGAAAAATTGAATTAATGGAAAATAATTAAAAAATTATTTTCAATAAATAAATAATAATTTATTTATTATTATAAGTAAGTATTATAAGTAAGCGGTAAATGTTCCGGTAAATATTCAGCAATTTTAGTATCGCTCATATTCTACTGGGTGATTATTGCGATTGGAAATTTTTGCTAGGCAATCACTTAGTAGAGGTAGGCCACTTTTTTTTGAGTCCTCACCATTACTGGTTAAACTCGCTCCACTGGTTTGTCGCATTGAGCAATATGCCAGGGAGTTCCTTGGAGAAAGTAATACAGATGAGTCGCCAGCATCACCCAGATATAGGTTTACTCCTACGGGGAATCGAACTCCAGAATCCGCGCTTCCAATTGAGCAGCAACTCACTGAACTATCCATAGGATAGGTCATCCCCCAGAGGTAGGCCATCCGAATTTTTTAATAACAGTTTTAGTCCTGTCGGGAGGAACAATGATCTGAGCAAAAACTCTCGGTTCTTTGCTGTTAAAATTTTTGATTAACTCATTGTTTTTTTACAAATTTTATTTTTAAAGCCACTGAAAATACGTAAAAGCTTAATTTATTATTATTATAATTAACAATCTTTTAATCTATAATTAATTTTTTTGTTTTTTCATTAATTATTTATTATTTAACTATTGCATTCGTCAATTATTACTAATTATAGTTAATTAAATGTTATAGGTCGTTAAAATTATACAAAAATTAATTACTACTATTCCACGTCATATCATAAATGGAAAAAGAAATGTTATAGTAAACAATATACAAAAACGCATGACTGCTGGCTACTGCAAAACACGAATTTCTTAAATTCGACAATTTCGTCCTCACTTGATATCAAGTTTATTTTATTTATTCTATATGTATATGTATAGGGAAGTAGATTTAATATTAATGATAATGCAAATAAACCCTGTAAGCGCAAAATTTTTTAGGAGATTTGTTGGAAAATATTTATCTCTCTCATTGAGCCTAATGGTTTTTTAAGCCCACTTCTGTAAATTCTCAAATAAGCGCTTAATACTAAAATCACTAGTGAAAATTTAAAAATTTTTAAAACTAACCAGTGGTTATGGATGCAATTGAATTGGATTTCTGTATCATTTATTAAAAATTTCGCTTAAATACATTCAAAAATTTTAATTTATTGAGAAATAACCGACATTTAGCCGACATTGAAGCAGTGAGAGGAAACAATTCATTTTTCTTTTTTACGTGAAACTGTGAAAATTCATCAAAAGATTCAGGAATAACTTGAATAGAAGAAGCGATATTGGAAGCAACATTAAATTGTTGATAAAATTTCGGAACTCTCGAATAATGAACCAGTGGCGTTGACGAACATCGCGGTAAGTTAGATCTAATTGTCTGTGGTGAATCAGTGTTGGCTGGATAATGAGTCGAGCATGGATCAGTAAATGATGGATTAGAAAATCTTCTTTTGTCTCGAGTTGCTGCTGCTTCTAATGCATATGCTTCGATTTCAGAAGATTTAAGTGTCATCGATGTTTCTGCTGTTTGATCAGCTGCTGATAATGTATCACTTGATGAACAATGTTCAGCGCAAAAGCTCATAAATTCTGATGTCTCATCATCACTATTCGCACCTAAATCTTCAGGTCCTGGTGTATTCATTTTTTTCCTTAAATCAGAAAAATAATCAAAAACAAAAGTATTTATCAAATTTCATTGAAATATGAAAATATGTTAAGTAATATACGACAAAGTAAAAAAATTATAATCGGTTTAATTTTATATTAAAGAATGGAGTTATTGAAAGAAGAAACAAATATGCGAGTATTTTATTCATTCATTCCATTAATTTATTAGTTCAAATTTTTTTTACAATATTCTTGTAATTATTATTATTGTCACCATTTTCATTGCTTTTATTTATATCATTCTATTATTATTATCATTATTATTATTATTATTATCATTATTATTATTATTGTTAAATACTAATATTGCAAATATAAATATTATAAATAAACGTTTTTAGAGCATAAAATAAATTTAAAATTTAGTATTCTGCAAAAATTTTGCATAAGCACAAATCGAACATTTGATGAGTTTGAGTTTTTTACGACGCAACATTTTCATTCTCAAAAGATTTTTTGAAAAGAATTTGAAAGAAAGCTAATAATTTATGAAGGCATTATTTAATGAACTAATTCACTTTATAATATAATTTCTTTTTTAATTCATAGAAGGATTATATGTGAACAAAAATACTTTTTGTTGATAATATTTCTTCGGATCTATTCAATTTTATTTTATTTTAAAGCGAATATAAATCTGTATTAATTGTTTCTTATAAAAGGTGAAATTTTTAATCTATTGAAAATATTAAATTTAAATGAATAAAAATTAAAATTTTATGAAAGCATTATAAATTTTTATTCGAATAAAAATTAATTTTTTGAATTTCATATTTCCAAGGATTTCAATCTACCAACCAAAATGGAATAAAATAAAGCAAAATGAAGTTGAAAGGTCGAAATGGCTAAAAGAAATGTTTAAAACTAATACTTAAATACATGTATGGCTTTAATAATAAAATTATTTTAGTAACAAAGTTCAATGAATAAAAGGCGGAGCAGAACAACAACATGTGGGCGAAATTAAGCGTAGGCAATTTTCACTTATGACGTTTTCATTTCTATGCTTTAATGGATGTGTATGGGTGTGCATGAATGTGTATGCGTGTACGTATGTTTATGTTCCCTCCGTGTAATGATTCGAACTAAATTAAACTGAAATGACCAATGCAGTTTTTTTTTGCTTTTGATTGATTCATCTATTAAACGGACGATGAGCAATAAGCAACTGTGAATGAACGAAATGAAATGCTTATTTTGCTTATAACTTATTTAGTTAATTAGAATAATTTGTGGCGATCACTGGAAAAAATGAATTTGTCGTTCGAGGAAGTGTCCAAAAATAAAAACTTCTTAGAAAATTTCTCGTGCCTTAACGAAAAAAATTCATTTAACAGCGATATTCATATTTGTGCTTTCTATTTGTAAAATTTATCATTGTAAATAAATAAATTTAGTTTAAAAAATTGTAACATAGGATTGAAAAAAAAGCGAACAAACGTTTCATATATTTTTGACAGCACAACAATTGTCATCGAATGATATGAATGTATTATTTGCGAAAAACTATTAATGAATAATTTGAAGTTTATTCGATGTTTCTTATTTTCTACTTAAACGATCACTCGATAAAATGATAAAGAATGATAAGAGGCATTCTCAATTTACATGTTTCAACTTTTTTATGAAATAATTTCAAAAGGGCTAAGTAAGCAGCTTACTATTACTATTATTATTATTTATTATTATTATTGATTATTGATTATTATTATTATTATTGATATTATCGTATTTCTTTGGATAAAATGACCGCATTCTTTATGTTTGACCGTTCTCAACTAATTGTTATTAAAGGCTTATAAGTGCAAAATTTAGATTTTTTGATTTGATTTGATTGATTGATTTGATGTGATAAGTCGAAAATTTAAGAAGGCAGTCACTTACTATAATTTGCTCATTTTGGCAATAAAATGGCAATTGCTTCAACCAGGAAGAAAAGTTTGAAATTTCAATGCTAACAAGTTATGAGACCATTTCTTAGTGAATTTCGAAAAAATCACGCCTTTTAAATTTTTTTTTGCTGATTTACTCTAAATAGAACAAAACTTTATCTTTTTAGCTTTTAGCTTGCCATATTGATTTTTTTCTTGCTTATCATGGAAATTCTGGAAAAAAAGTTAAAATGTGAGACTGAAGAAAGATTCCCATTGCATTTATTTTTTTCCTTCGCTTCTTCATTTATCGATAAATAATGCATGAATAATTGTATTTCGCACAGCCATTTTTTGATTCACTTTTTATTCGATTTTGTTAATTTTTAAAATTTCGATACTATTTTTTTCTTTTATCGAATAACCCTTAATTAAAATGTTTTATTCGATAATTATTTTTCGTTTCTTTTTCTAACTTTTTTTTGTCGATTACCTTTCGTCGCTAAAAATTGACTAAAATATACTTTTAATGACAAAAAAAATGGATGAATTTCTTTCCATTGGAAAATTAAATTATATTTTTAATTGCATTATTTAGCAAAAATACCAAAAAGTGACCTTTTATCAACGAAGAGAAATACTTTAGTTAGCATTAAATGTTAATTTTTTGATAAAAGTTTCTTTTAATTTTTGATAAAAGTTTAATTTTGAGCTGTTTCAACCTTTATTTTTGCGCAATTCTGAAACTTTAATAAATAATGCGTTAAATTTTTTTTTAATTTAAAAATAACGACATGTACATGTATAAAAATGAAGAGGAAAAAACAGTTTAGTTTTTTAGTTTTTTTCTTTTGTCTCTGAAAGTAACGAAAAGGAACTGACATATAAAAAATCAATTCTAGAATTAGAGACTAGCGAGAGACTCCTCGCCTGTACTTCCCTAAGTGACTTCATAGCGAAAATATCTATGTCGCAAAAGGCATCAGCTATCCCAACATGCATTTTATCTTTAAGCAGATTTTTTGATATTTTTGCGACAAATGTGCAAATTGGAAACGAAGAAAACCTAAGAAAGTCGGACAATTTTGAACATAACGCTGAGGTCTTTGCCACTGCTGCAAGAACATCACAATTGTAAATATAGGGAATTAAGCAACAACTATCCACTCTTTATCTAATTACAATATGAGCAATGCTTTCCTGTCGGAAAGAGACCTTCGCGATTTTGAATCCAAAACAGGAATAGGATCTGGTTCAGAAAAAAAACCGTCAGTGATATCTTGGATAATTCGGAAAAATATAGAACCAACAAGACCGTTATGTTCAAAAAGACCATATCAGCTTTGATAGGACGGAGTCCTGTTAATGATCGAATGGTCTAAATCCGTTTTAAAAACTCTGCAATATTTCGACCATCAGCACTACCAAGTTATGCATGATCTAAATGAAGATAGATTCAAAATTTTTTTACCTTATAGCATCTCATCTTAAAAAGGGCATCGTCTTGGTTGCTACTGGGTATATATGCAAAAGCGCTGCATTCTGGGCAAATATGGTGTTGAGGCTCGATGTGTCAATTGGAGAACAATCTTCCGCGCTTATTAGAGAAACATGGACTTTTTATCAATAACATCTGCTTTCAGCACCACAGGATCTAGTTACATGGACTCTCCGGATAACCAACATTCGAGCAGAACTGTCTATGTTTTGATCAATTATCGTTGGAAAAGTGTTTTATAGTAGACAATGGCCATGCGAAAAATAGAAACTGGCAATATGAATAGTTCAGGTTGTATTAAAGGAAATGTTCATATGAAATTGACGACAAGTACAAAATATCGCCAAAAAAAATTATTTGATTATTTTATGTTGAAAAATCCAGAGACAATACGTGCATTTAAAACCTAAAAACTTTGGCAAGAACCATAATAACTTCTCAACTGTGGAATAATTGGTGATTGCTGGTTGGTACCTTGCTTCCAAAAATTGGTAAATCCTTCAGACGCCCAAAAAAGCAAGTTAAATGTCTTAAATACCTGCGCAGACTGGTAAAAGTTGTAGTAACAAAAAATGCAAGCCAACATTGGAATAATGTATTCCTGATTATGGAGACAAAAGGGTAAAATAGGCAACCATAGAAAGTTCTACTTCAAAACGCAACCATAACTTGAGAAATAGTTGATGAAATGATCTGAATTCAGGAAATCTATTAAAAATCTTAAACACCGCTTTTCTTGATGGAAAGATTTTTTTGATTGCATCAAGCACCAAACACGAAATGATCTTTGTTAATTCGAAAAATTAAAACCAATAAAATACACGAAGATGGATTGCAATCCATCTTCTGAAATATTTATAAAATTTGTACTCACAGGTGTGGAATAAAAATTACCAATAAAAATTACCACCACATGGCTAAATCAAAGCAATCCTGATCACAATTTCAAAGAAAGGTAGCAGAACGCAAAGCGATAATTGTAGAATTTTTGCCTCAGTTCTGCTAATTATTACTACCTTGTGCGAGAGGCTGATGCACTATAATTAAGGAGAATTTAACCCACGTTATGGTTGTGCTGACCAAATCTTCATAAGAAGACCAAAAAAATGTTGGAATCTGTGGAATCTTAGTCTCAAAACGAGCTCATATTTATCTTTCACACACAATTCTTTATGAAAAATGGTTGGTAAAAATGGGATATATCTATTTTTGATTATATTTTTGATGTACATGCTTCATACAAAATACACCTCACATTACAGCACCATATTCACTCAAATATCACCTGCATCGAGCAAATAGTCGATCGTTGCTTATGGTGGACATCGGACCACAAGGCTTGGAAATGTCTTGCTACAGTCGTCTGTAATTAAATTAAGCATTTCTTTCAATACAAAAAAAATTATATCATTAATTATTATATCATCACTATTTCGTTACATTTTTATATGATTAAATAAAATTTCCTTTATTTGCTTCCTCCTTTTTTTGTTAATTATGTTATTTACAGAACTCTTAAAAGAATTTATTTTTTCATACAGCAAATCTTGGCATAATAAACATTACTGAAACATTTTTTATCTCTGAAGCTTATCCATAAAACAACATTATTGTGATTACAGCTCAGAAAGTTAAACTGAGGTAAAAAAATTGAAAATCTTCAAAGAAAACATGGAACATGAAACTATAGAAAAGAAGGAAAAGCAAACTTAAAGGGATGAAATATTTTTTTTTTTACGATGTCTTTATCATATCATCATAAGTAGTTGGAGGAATCGAAGCCTTGTCAAGGAACGAATTTACGTGGAAGTTTGAAGCGCGGCCCGACGGATCTTCATTTGCCTGAAAATCTCGATTCTGCATGCAAATTCATTGAGAATCGATCACCGTTCATGTTGGGTACAAAATTTCATAGAATTACACATCTAACAATGAAATAAAAATCTATTCATCTCATTAAATGCATAGTTATACGCACAATTAATTAGTTAATACAAGAAAAAACCAAATATTTGTTTCAAATTTTGCACCATAACTTTAAAAACAACTAACTTGCCATTTAGGTATCCATTTTTGCACCGTCTTCGCTGCATTATCAGTTGGAAAATGTTTTTGAAAGATTTTACGCATATAGAAAGCTTCTTTAGTCGTTGGAGTATTATATGGGAAAAGAAGTTTTGCTTGTTCCATCTGAATTTAAAATTTCAACATATTAAAATTTCAGAAGAAATTTGGAAAGTAAATGGTATATGATGAATAATATAAGAGGAAAAATCACCGAGTGAAAACCAGCTGACAAACAGAAAAATTTAAATGGTGCTATGGACCCACCTAAATTTTTCTCATCATCAAGTGATTCTCTAGCAATATTGTCAGCCAATGGGGTGAGTCCTACTAGAAATGGTGAAGTGCTAACCACTTATTCTTATTTTTATTTATTTATATTCTTTGAATAAAAAGTATTGTGGCTAAATTGTTTGTGTTTTCATTAATTAATATTAATTAGAAACTAATACCATTAAGAAATAATTGCTTACATATGGAAAAAAATAAGATTAAATTTTAATTAAATGAAAAACAAAGCTATAAAATTCTTTACTGTTCGAATAGTTTGTTTCTCACTATAATAGAATAGTTTTATTAATAAAGTGAACTTAATAGATCTGATCAGTTTTGGCTTTTACATTTATCACATTGTAGTTTTGTAAAGGGCAACTGATTAAAATATAGGTTGTACCTCCTCAACAGTGACTTGTTTTCCACAAAACTCGATAAGTGTATCAATCCACTCATAACCAACACCATCGGAAAATTGTTCCTTCTGCCTCCATAATATTGCTTCAGGCAGATATGGTTCCTTCTAATGGTTTCAACTTTATATGAGTATTTTGAAAGAAATTTAATTAATTAGTTTGATTAACAATAATATTTATACTCTAATAAAAAACTAATTTTTAATTTTTAACAATTTAGTTTACAGGAAATTTGATTTTTCAGTTTCTCGTTTTCTCGTTCCCTTCCCTTTGATTATTTTTCACTCTTATTATATCACATATTTTAATAAAAAGGTCCCAGTACCACATTGAGATAATGGATTACTGATAAAAGATGAAAATTATAAAAACAAAAACAATGAAACCTGGTCATCAAAAGCAGCTCGAAGTAGCCATTTCTCTAATTTTCGTCCATTATGCATTCTAGCACGTTTGAATGTTGGTTTTGTAAGTAATGCAACATCGAGAAATGCTTTATCAAGGAAAGGAACTCGAACTTCAAGTCCGTGTGCCAAACAAGATTTATCAGCTCGTAAACAATCTGCTGTGCTTAGAAGTTGAACACGACGTATAGTTTCCTGTTGCAAAAAATACAAGATATTTCGTCGAATTAAACCTTTTTTGGTCTAAGATCATCCAATCTTATCCTGGCTTTATTTGTTTCTTCTTTTAACTAAATTAAATTGCATAATGAAAGCGAATTCTAGAAATTTTTCGTGTTAAGCTTCGATTATCAGCCTCATGATTTATCCTAAAAGAAAATAAGCAATGCTTGGACCTACTTGTACCTGCAAGGGTCTCACCATAATAGCCAAGCCATAATGGGAAATGGTGAATGCTTACAACCAATTAATTGGAAGATCTTTCTCAATTTTTTCAAATTAGAAAATAATTAGAAATTTATAGGATAAAATGCATACTTTTTGAAATTCTTCATCATTTGGTGCATTGCAAAAATATAAATAGCCACCAAATATTTCATCCGCACCTTCGCCTGATAATACAACTTTGACGCCAAGTTTAGAGATTTTTTCTGATAACAAATACATCGGAGTCGATGCACGAATTGTAGTTATGTCATACGATTCTAAATGCCAAATTATCTTCCCAATAGCGCTTAAACCTTCCTGAAAAACAGAAATTTATCTATCGCTACTTATCTTAGCTCATTTTCTAAGTATACTGTTTTTAATCTGTCTTAACTTTTATTCTATTTTATTTTTATATTAACTCATTTCATTTTTAATTGTCACCACTAATATTTTATATTGAATTTAAGTGAATTTTCAAAATCCAATATACCTACCTAATAATTTGATAAAACTTAATCAATCTTCCGGCAAATCTATTTTTATCTATTTGGAGAATGCGCCGACTCACCTCCAAGGTAAAATAAAACTCATAATGCTCCGTCTTCAGAAAATCAGCTACTTGACGTGCTGCAATCAAATCTGGTGAATTTTCATTTAGACCAATTGAAAATGACTTTAATTGCCTTCCGCGACGATGCACCTCTTTCACCGCTATTGAACTAAAGATCGACGATCATAATTTATATTTAAGTTTTTACTAGAAGTGCGTGATTGAATAATTGTAAGTATATAGTCTGAGATTAACTGTATCGAAGTTTCTTTTTATTCATTCGTTTTGAATCATAAATCTATTGGAGCTTTACGATCACTGAATCGACAATTTTGTTATTTTGTGGTTTATTACGAAAATTATTTCTGGCGAATGCCACAGCTGCTTTTATGGCGATTTGGTTTGTAAATAGCTCAGAAATGGCAATTGGACAGAATGAAAAAATTAAAAATTTTGGAAAAAAATTAATCAAAATTGTTATTTTACCCAACAATGCTGGAATCAAGACCTCCACTCAGCAGAATGCCTAAAGGTGCATCACTCATGAGACGCTTCACTGTAGCGCTTATCAACTGATTTCGTATGTCCTTCAGATTCATATCTTTGGTTGCATTTAGATGATTAAACCATAACGGCTGCAATAAGTTTTTTCTCTGGAATCTATACATTTTACTAATCATTTTTCCAAGCAAATTTGATAAAAATTAGGCAAATTCAAAAACAAATAACATGGAAATTACGCAGATGTTACTCAATTATTTTCGCATATATTAACAATTATTTGTTATTTCTATGCAAATCAAAATTTCGTTCAAAATTTCGAAATAAGATATACACGCACCTCATAATAACGAATAAAGTCAGTTTTCGGGGTCCAGAAATGACCAGGCGGAAATGCTTTCAACTCATGTTCTCCGCATATATCTTCAATTACTTTCATTTCGGAACTAAAAAAATATTTAATCGTTTTTATTGTCGATTATTCTTTAATAAATTATAATAAATAATATTTGCTGTAATAGACCTGAAATAGTATCGGCCTTCCTCGCATACACCATAAAATAGTGGTTTAACACCGATCGGGTCTCTTGCCACTAGGAATTCTTCTTCAAATATCAAAGCAAATGTGAATATACCATCCAAAATATTGCACATCATTCCGGATCTTTCCTTTAATATTATCTAATTTCAATATACAATATAATATTTCAGCCGTTATATTTTCATTTTTTTCTAGCTACTACCAAATTAAAATATGCGACAATCTACTATTACGAAATGTAACTGTTCCAAATTAATTTGATTTAAAAGTTATTATAAAAATTACGGATAAAACAAAGTTTTTTATTGATAGCGATTTTTTCTGATTAAAATTACAGTTTCATCAAGCATTTTGAGTACTTAAAAATTTGACCAATATTGTAAATAATTTTATTTTTCGATTTGTTTTAGAAATTATGCTTAATTGATTCGAATGACAAATTTAAGACGAGCAGTTCCTTGGTTATAACCAAAACTAATTCTCTTCAAATCGGACAGTTACGGTCAACTTACCTTTTCGTATAGAAATATTATCACTTCAGAATCGCAAGTTGTTTTAAAATCGTATTTGTTTAAAATGGTTTGACGTAGATGTTTATGATTATATATTTCCCCATTATGAATGACCTAAAAATCTATTTTGTTTAGATTATATTTTTTCCGATACCAAAGTACCGAAGAATGTCGAGGATAAAATATTCACAAGACAGTTATAAACCTGATGGTCCTTCTTTGTCCCTTGAAATGGATGTTTGCAGCTTAAATCCATTATTGCTAGCCTCTCATGCACTAGCAAATCACCTGTTACCTCATTCTGATAGGATCCATGATAATCTGGACCACGGTGCTTTTGGCGTCTAAATATAAATGTATCGTTAATAAAAAACATCCGAAATGTGCAACGAATTATTAAATTCATAAGGTATATTCTTTAAAAAAATAATTTTACGAAACACCAGAAATAATATGCGAAAAACGAATATTTATGAAAAAATTGAAGAATTCACTTAGAGCGTTCCTCGGCAACTGCAAGAGAAAATTTTGGCGGTCTTAATCCATTTTTCGAGCAATGGCAAATTGCAAAAATTCCACACATTTCAGTTTTGCAAAATCTAAATTTTTAAAATTTTTCACTCAATGAATGGTTCGAAGGAAAAATGTTATGACACTGGAAGGAAAACAAAGGAAAAAGAAATATAACGGAAAAAGAATGAATGAAAAAAGAAAGAAAAATTTAAAAAATTTAAAATTTGAATTTACAAAAGAAAAATCAGAGATTTCGAAAAGTAAAGGATTTAATAAATCCAGATGAAAATTGTACAAAAAAGGCAAAGCTTACAAAGATTTTCAGTTTTGGAAATATTTAAGTGAAAAGTGCAAAAGAAGAAAAAGAATATATTCCAATATAATTTAAAAAATGGACAAATTAAAAGGCAAAAGATAGCTCAGCGAGGTTTCGTAAGGTATTAAAATATTAAAATTAAGGGTGCATGAAGAAATTTTTTTTCTTTGGTTCAATAGAAACCGATAAGCGACCGTATGGCCTATGCATGGCTTTAAAGGTAAGTTATGCAATATTTCGGTCATCAGTGTCTACGCTCCAATTCTGCAAATGATCGTGATAAAGATATTTTCTATGCAGAACTTCAACTGCTAACAAAGTCTCTACCAAAACATAACATGGTCATAGTCGGGTAAAACTGGGATGCATACGTAGGTTATAATGCCAATGACCTCGACAATTGACAAATATGACATCGGACACCAGTGCGCCATAAAATTGACAACTAGAAAACGTAGAAAAGTAGAAAACATTATTCCCCAAGACCATTCAACTATCTCAGATTGAAATTCGGAAATAGCGGGCGTATATCGGACCGAATTATTAAAGCACCTAAGTGGTATAAAAACGACTTTTCTGGAACGGCAAATGAATATTGGTCCAAACTAAAGGAATATCTCCGAAAGTCAGCCACTTCCACGCTAGGGCATACTAGTAGAAAGTGCATAAGTTAGGTATCGGAAGGAACTGTCCAAATCTCTGAAAAGCTGTCAAGGCATCACGAATTTCAGAAGATCCTGACTGCTAGATGCTTCGAAGAATTACAACGACAGCAGCATGGCTGGATAGAAATCACTATTGGAGCAACATGACTTGGAGCATGAAGACGCCGACTCGATTAAGTGATAATAGGAAATTATTTCGTCTTCTTCATAAAGCAACTATAATTCAAGAAGCGAGCAGTGAAATGGTAAGGGATGGGAATAGTGTGCCTTTTACGAGCGATAAGGATCGCCTCATTATAAGAAAAGAATTCATTGAGGCCAACGTAACCACGATGCGCCGATACACCATCTGTTGACCTGGATATGGCTGATTCTACGTTCGTCGAATCATATGTTTGCAATTGCGAACTGCCAACAGAAGAAATAATCCCCGTTATCGATAAGCTTGGACCAATAAAACTCCGGTAGAAGATGGTTTTCACCTTGAACTCTTCGAATATTGTCATCATTTATAGCACACCTTGTACTCGTACTTTCTGCTATGGAAGAAAGAAATATTACCAGATAACTGGAGCAAAGCAATTCTGTTTCCCATTTCCAAGAAAGATAACGGCAACGGCACTTTGGAGAGTGATGGATATATTGCGACAATTATCAAGGAATTAGCCTCCTAGATATCTCAGCAAAAATTTTTGCTTCGCTTTTACTCAGTAGATTTACTTATGGCAGTACAAGACAGCAGGATGCGCCCTAATCAAGGTAGATTCAGGCCGGAGTGCGATTATGATGACCAGATGTTAAGAAGGGTATTGGGAGATCGATTCAAATATTTACAACCTCTTACGTGTTTCATCGAATTTGCACCTGCCTTCGATTCAATTTATTCAACGGCACTTTGGAGAGTGATGGAATGTACGGTATTCCATAGAAAATCATTCGACTTATAAAGGCATTTTATGAACGAACGTTGGCGCAGCTCTGTATATATTGGAAGAATCGACAGACTCCTTTGAAATAAAAACTTGGTTGAGGTTGCATCCTCTCCTGTACAACATTCAACTGTGTAATAGAATGGTTAATGGACACTGCTTGTCGGCACCCAAGAGGCAGTCCAGAGCATCATTTCACAGGTTTTGAATACGCTGATGATGTAGTCCTTTTTGCTGACAGTTATGAAGATGAAATGCAAAAAATGCTAAACAAAGTGTCAGAAGCTGTAGCGAGAACCGAACTCAATGTAAATAAAGCGAAAAACTTTTCGTCTTATATACAAGAAGCTGATAAAATATCTTTTTATAAACTAATTGCAAATTGAGGCAGATTAAGATTAAATAGATTCACTCCAATACCAAATGACCAGGTAAAAGAAGAAATTACAACCGGTATAACTGTAGCTAGAAATGCATTCTTCAGGTTGATGAAACTTTTATGGAGCCGTTGCGAGATCACCATAAAAAGTCCTATATAGCCGCAATTCGTTCGACCTTCATATATGGCTGCCAGACATGACCAATGAGAGTGGAGGATATTAAGAAGCTGTCTGCTTTTGACCATTGATGTCCAAGAATATTTCGGAGTTAGCGCAGTGGATAAAATCTATATGATCGAATCCACCTTCGCTCAAATACCACTTGCATTAACACTATCACGTTCTCTGGGACATGTTCTTCACCACAAGAGTTGTTGATATATATTTCGCTATTTATCCTGTGATGAGTGGCATCAAAAGATCTGGAATGACACAGCCAGGAAAGATTTCGAACGTATAGTTGGACCAGCAATATATGGACTTAGAGGATGGAAAAAAGAGTGGCTTCTATTACTGTAGATGGCATCGTGCAGCTTGGAGACGTCTTATCCTTATAGCCAATGGAATCAGCCTAACATTTAGCAGCTATTAGAAAAAGAAAAGGCAAAATAGGCTTTCAAGTGGAAAATGCAATTGTTTTCAATCGAATTTGATCAACTATTTGATACTGAATTGCACTGCAAATATTGTTCTTTTCTATTAATCAAGAAAATTCCATTGAAAGTAAAAGGTGACAAAAAAAAAAAACAATTCAATCGGCTTATTACATACATTCCATTCTAAATGAAAAACTATTAAAATAAGCCACTAAATATCGAATTATTTTTCAAGACAAAAGGGATTAAAGGAAAGAATTTTTTTAAAAATTTGTAAAAAAGAAATAACCGCTAATGAATCGAGTATTACAGTATAAAAATCCTTCGCAATAATTAAATGATTTTTTTTCGTCAGCAATCACCGTCTCTAACTTCGCTCTACAAGTAAGACGAATAGAATAGTAAATAGAATTAAACCAGTCATTTCATAATAAAGGTGAAAATAGCCTTCTAACACCACCCAAATTTTTTTATGACAGGTTTTATTTCTAATAGAACAATGATTGAGATGATAATCTAAATAATATATTCAGCTACAGGAGGAAATATCAAATGATCATATTTAATGATAAAAAACATCGTGATTTGTTTTGCAGCATTTTTTGAAGGAATGTTTTTTATTGATACTGAAATCTTAGCGATTGATAACCATAAAAATGGCGAATCTTCGAAACTAATAAATTTATTGATTTGGGTAAGTCGAATTGTATATTGCTTTTGGTTGAGAGCAAAGAGAATGAGCTCGTTAATCATCCCTTATCAAAAATAAGAGCATTTACGGGCTGAAAGGTGCTAAAATTTGAGTGATGGTGAGGATCGCCTCCTATCGCCTTTTTATCACAAAGTAATTTACCTAGGATTTAAGAATGTAGCCATTCGCCACGTTATTTTCAGACTTAAACCTTTTAAAAGTCTTAAATTATCGAACCAGAGACATAAAAATTATGAACATTAGGTAAAATTACCAAAAAAAACTCAATATCATCAATGTAGATCATCAAACGAAATGCCATAAATTTCCACCACATCTGGAAAATACATTTTTCATTAAAATTGTTCTGTTTTATTCGGATATTTGCGAAATGTTGCGAAAAAATGGAAAATATTGCATCATCATCAGCAATTGAATTTGTTCTTCTAACCGATAATATTGAAAGCTGTCATTTCTCATTTAATCTTTAGCTATATTATTTCCCTCTTATTCACAATATTTTCATCTATGATGAGATATATTGTAATAAATAAAATTTTTTAATAAATGGAATTTTGGTATATTTATATGTATATTTTGCTTAGGCTTTATCCGTACTTTTATACCCAAATAACTCTCTAATGAGGAAATTTCTCCTTTTCACCTTAGCCGCTGAAAAATTTAGCCAAACGAAAAATGGTGATTATTGTTAGAGAAAGGAGAATTAAAACGGTCAAGTTTTTTAATGAAATACGATGAAACTACGAAAATTACTCTTGTAGCCCACTGTGTAAGGAAATGATCAACTAAAAATTCAACAAGTGATGTTTAATTTTTGTTAATTTACCGCTTTTTGTTGTGATAAATAAATGAATGTTCGAATGTTATTTAGTAAAATTTCAAATATATAATTTTAGAAAATCATTTATTACGAATTAAAGCTTTCATTAAATATTTTCATTACATTTTATTTCATTCAATTTGCTTAATTGGTTTTTGCATTTTAAAATCGCCATTTTAGAGACATAAATTATCATAAATCTTTTTATTTTCCATGATATTTATTTTACACAAATTCTTAATTGCTAAGTAATAAATATTGCATTTTATCCTTATATCAGTGATTATATCAGTAATTTCAACAAATCGTCATTCACTGTTTCATATTTGGCTTGCTGATCTTTTGCTGATTTCTAAGGAGCTTTCATCAGTGAGTCATTCATGGTTAGAAATAAAAATAGATCCTCAAAATCCATCAGAATTTCACTTTTAATGCACTTCAGCGACTCTATTTAATAAACACTTAATAATGAAATATAAAATGAAATGGTATATTTGTATATTTTTTCCCCTTACCTCTGCCGGTATAGCTTGCTCCACTGGAGCCAGAAATTTTGCCAAGGAATCACTTGGAGATAAAATCGAGTCACCCACATCATCCGAATTCTTGGACAGGTGTACTTCCGTAGGACACAAGCCGTATGGCAGAGGTACAATGGCATATCTATTTCTTGAATGGCATAAATATATCTTTGTTTTCTATTCCTCCATCTAATTTTTTTAAGAATTATCCTCACTTACTATTTAAATTTGCTCCATTGGCTTTGTCGCACTCTATAAATATGTCAGGGAGTTCTTTGGCAATAAAAGTGCAGGGTCAGTGAATCAGCATCACGCGGATTTTTGGACAGGTTCACTCCTGCGGGGAATCGAATCTCAGCATCGGTACTCCGAATCGAACAACAATTCACACAGCCATTCTATTCCTCCGCCCAAAATTAACAATTAACAAATTTTAATTTTAATTAACAAATTTTATATTCGGTGGCAAAAAAAATGGAATTGATCGGTGATACTAAAAATGGGTTAAAATAATAAAATGCAGTGGGTTTTTAAAAATTATCTCTTAATTAATCAAAGTTTTTTTATATTAACTTGAAAAAAACTAAAATTTTAATTGAAAACAATCGTGTTTTTTTTTTTAATCGCTTGAACCGAATTACAATTTAAATATAAGAATATTTTAATTTGTACGGAAAAAACTTTTCTATTTTAATTTATAAAATCTAAATAAAATCTGCAACTATAGTTCTGATAATTCAAATCCGCACTCATTTATTATAAATTATTTGAAAAAATATCAAAAGAAATTTTTATTTTAAATTTATTGAACTAAAGGGCCTAAATTTTAATAATGATTTTAAAACTAAAACAATTCGTTATTAAGAAAAGATTCTTCTAAGATTCGAGAATTCGAGAAATGATAATAATGCTTTTAGTTTAATGTTTAATATACCTAAAATATTCTTAAAGAGACAAATATTTAAATATTTCAATAAATATTTTAAGAAATTCATTCTATTAAATTACAAAATTTTTTTATTTTTTCTTAGGTCGTCTTTAATTATATTTCGAATATTTTCCATTCTTTAAAAAAATTTTATTGTAATCAATCTTGCAATGATTTATAATTGTATCGCAAAACTTCATATTTAAAGGAAAGTTGATTGAGTAGTACATTTTTGTCTGACTAAGATCAAGCAAATGTTGCTGTGCTTTGTAGGGAATGAATCTTCATTAAAATGAAATCCTGGAAGTGTTAGGAACCAGCCTCCTTCGATCTTAAAGTTTGTTCGGTGAAGAAGCTACGTTCTTTTAGAGGTCTGTGGAGCCACAGAGAACTGGGAGAACTGAGTGAGTGTTGCTGGTAGCGATTGTTTCTTATATATCTTATATATCTGAACGTATTTGATTATTTTGATTATTTTTCACCAATGAAGTTATTGAATTGTGGATTTCCCTCTTTATTTTAACTTTTGAAAACAGGTTTATTACTAACACGAGTAGAACTACAGCACTGACGCTCAGAAATGAAAACAACAATTATCTCATGGCTACCTCAACTATCCCTTCGCTATGAAAAAATTTGCACCATTACTCGAAATGGTTTCTTTTTGTTTTGTCAGTTCGCTAAAATTCTGCAAAAAGTTTTCTCGAATTGAATAAACTTCCACATATATAAGCAATATGACAAGTATATCTTGAAAGTTTTCATTTTGATAAAAATAAAATAAAAATTTTGATATAATGTGTAGAACTGAGAAATAGTAGTGCATAATCCTAATAAGGGCTTTTATTGGAAATCAATTTGAGGATTTCCTAAAAATTATGGCATTCATTTTAATTTTTTCTTTTCTGAAATATGATTGGAAACAATTCAAAAGTTATTAATGAAGTAAGTTTTTTTTTTTAACGAAATCATTTAATTAACAAATGTAAAAATGTAAAATTTGCTATGTAATTCCATTATTGACAAATCCATTGATATAAATTTTGCCTATGATTATTCATTTAATTCATTCACCAGTATTTGGCATATGTGAAATTCTTCTCAGAAAAGTCTTGAAAATATTCAACGATGAGTTTCATGCGATCGGTCGATCATTCTATATTTTCGTGCAATATAAATCATTCCCGAGCGACTGCCTGGCATGATAGCCAGTTGAATGAGCCTATTTAGAATCGGCTGTTGTTCATAACTACTTATTTTTAAACTTGTCAAATTTTTAATATATCGAATCGTATGCACTAATATTTAAATATTGATTCCACCTAATTTATAATTATTTAAATTATTTTAAAAATAAGTCTTCATTTCATCTTATTCTTATCATGAATTAACTATTAATTACAAATTTTTTTTCGTTTCCTTATCATTTTTAATATCTTAAGTTTTTAAATTCTTTTGATCTTATCATTTTTTTCAAAAATAAAAAATAACAAATTGTAAATCATAAAGAAATGTTTATAGCAAAATTTCAGATTGAATCTTTGCAAAAAAAATGTGCTCAAAAAACAGAAGTCGTTTTATCATTAAGCAAAGAATTATCTGTGACTCAAAGTGAAGTTAATAAATGGAAAGCAATCGCTGAAAACTTCGAAAGAAATCTGGCTCAAGTCGAATTTTCACTGCAAACTCTCACTAAAGTTTGTTGTTATTATTACGTACACAGTGTTGTTAAAACATAAATTATCGATTGTTATTTAATATTTTTTTGCAGTAGAAAAAATATTTAGAATAATAAATATTTAGCATAGAAAAAATATTTTAATATCATCATGGATCTCATAATCTCATGATAATAATCACAAATCATATTATTATAAAAAAGCAGCGGGATAATAACATTGTCATGTGCATCAATTGAGGAATGCGCGTGACAATTCTTCGTATTTCTCCCTTTTTTTCCAGTCATTGCAAATTTAAAATTTTTATTTTATTTTGTACTATTCTGAATTCAATTTGATAAAATTTCGTACTTTTTTCAGCATTTTTCTTTTTTAAGAATAGCAGAACAATTCATATTCATTATTTCAATATTATATTTATTTTTTTACCTGTACTCGTGGAATTAAATTTTTTTATCAGTTTTTTATAGGTTTTTAATGAATCGGAGGAAGAGCGGAGGAAGGAGAAATTTATTTTATTATCTGAAAAAGAAAGCTTGGCGAAATTGAACGAGCAAATCAGCGATGAAAACAAGAATCTGAAAGCAAATAATTTATTTTGACTTTTTATAAATGATGAGTTCACTTCGTTATTATCGCAAAATCCAACTTCTCTGTTTCATTATAGGCCGATGTTAAAGATCTCCGATCAGATTGTAAAGTTCTTAGACAAAAAATTGCGAGATACGAAGTGGAAACTTTTTATAAGGTTAGCTATATACGGAGTAAACTCGTAATTCGTCAATGAAAACCTGCTCCTCATACAATCCTAGTTACCATCACTGTTCACAAGTTTAACGATTTGTAAATTCGAGCGGTATCTAACTGCATCTCTATTTCCATACGGCTGTCGAAAAATTTATCGTACCACGAGCCAAGCTTAATAATGAGAAACACTAAGCACTAACGGGCTTATTAAAAGTTACAAGTGGGGAAGAAGGAAGGGAAAGGATGGGTGATGGGTTAAATTCGCAGAAAATGGCTTAAAATGGATGAATCACAAGCAAAAGGACCCAGCGCAGTCCTTATTATTAAGAAGATTAGAAGATTGTTGATTAGAATATGAGAAATTTTTCCGCAAATAGCAATGAATTTGGTTAAAATTTGCTGTGCATTAGGCAAGCTTACTTTTGATTTCCGTAATAAAGGAGAATTTTTAGCATCTTTTACATTTGATTTACTATCTTTTCTTCAATTTGCATAGTAAAGAATTTTTAACAATAGTTTTCAATAGATATCAAAGTATTTCAGCGTGAGAGTTGAGGTATTCCAAGCAGTATAATGGCTTCTTAGAATACTAGCTGATTTTAAAAAAATGGTGCCACTAAGCTAAACTAAAGGTCAGAACACCTCAGCTTGATGTATCGTGATAGAGACGGTAATATAAAAGGGATTAGTGAAGACTTTGGCAAAAGATTTGGCAAAAAATTTCTTATTATTTCCGAATATGATCAAATCTGATTAAATTTTCGTGGTATCAAACAGATGAAATTGTTCCATCACTCAAATCAGCAATTTGACTTGTTCTTCCCTCAGATTTTTCTGCGCTATACTTCTTTAATTCCCTAGATCTCCTTATATCTTTACTATTCTTGAGTCCATTAGATTTCCTGTAGATCTTTATTCTTATCTTTACTTTAGATCTTTTCGTCTTATGTGCAAGAAGCTGATAAAATGCCTCTTTTTGTAAATTCATTGCCGGTTAAGGAAGTGCCTGATTTCAAATACCTTGGGTTCACTCTAATACCAAATGGACAGGCAAAAGATAATATTACAACTCGGATATGGCAGCTAGAAATACGAAACCTTTATGGAATCGTCGTGAAATCACCATAAAATCCGCATCTATATTGCAGTGATGTTCGATCTTACTGTATGGTTCTGAAACATGGCCAATGAGAGTGGAGAATATTAAGAAGTTATCTGCCTTTAACCACTCTTGTCTAAGGTACATATTATGGATCCTTCGAGTGGACAAGATATGAAATGATCGCATCCACCTTCGTTCAAATACCACTTGCATAAATAATGTTATCAAAGAGCGCCGCCTTAGCTGGTTAGAGCACTTTCTCCGTCGTCCACCACAGGAGTTGACGCATATTTCGTTATTTGCTAAATCGTGTGATGGTTGGCGTCAAAAGCGAGGTGGACCAATCAAGACCTAGACTGATACGGTGAGAAATGATTTTGAACGTATAGACCAGCAATATATGGACTTAGATGATGGAAAAAGGAATGCTTGTAGCCATTGGAGCCAGCCTAACCAGTAATGGTGAGAGTTGTTAGAATAAGAAAGAAGAAGATCTTTATTCCCATATGTTTATTTGCATTTTCTCTTATCTCGATCTTTTGAAATTTAAATTTTTAAATTTAAATTTAAATTACATTTTTTAGATTGGAGATGCTCAAGAAAATTACGATACAAGAGAAGGTGCTAAAGATATGCCAAAAAGTATTGCCATTAATGATTCGAATATTTTCATAGAAAACCTCGAAAAGCTCACGAATAAGGTCAAATTATGTCTATCAATATTCGTTTGTTTATTCAAATATAAAAACTTGAAAAATCTCATCTCGTATTCAAGAAGGAATGAAAATTATTTTGCATTCATTGTGTCAGAATTTTTTTATTAAATTACAAGCGAAGAATTTCTGAACGAGTAAAATTTTTCTAAAATTATTATTAATTACTATTATAGAATTCACAGCTTCAGAAGGACTTACAAGCTTTATTGTGTGAAAAAGAAGAACTGATTTGTGATCGCGATTCACTGAATCGAAAGATTGAAAGATTGTCACAAGAATTGACCTATTTGCTTAACGGTGATTCAAATCGTGTATGATTTTAAATAAATTTTCATTTTTTTCAATGGTTTCTTTTTTAATTTTTATTTTTTAAATTATGAATTTCTTTATGAACCATATTATCAACTAAGTTTGGCATTATCAGTTGGAATCATTCTGTCATGAAAGCACAAGTAAGCCAAAAAAAGTACCATTTCTCATCAGCCTCACCCGCACATACGATGTAATGAGAAATTTTTATTAGAGTTTACTGGATAATAGAAGTACACTCGCTAGCATCGCTTGCTTTTTATAAATACTGGGACAATTTCTGTTGAAGAGAAAATCTGAGTGCATAAATAAACCAATATTCAATCTGATAAACTAGGAAAAATCAGTCGACTATTTTATTTTCATAAAACTATGTCAGTAATAGATTAATACGTAATACGATAATATGTCTATGTCTATATATAATTTATTCGTTAAATAAGCCAAATTATTTAATTTATTTGTTTTCAATCATTTTTAATGAATTTGAGTTTATTTAGAATAATGTCAGTACAACCATAAAATGCTATAAAATGACAAATGACAAAATGAAGGTGGTAATAAAAATAATCAAATACTGTAGATTATTGATGATATTGATGGATTAATCGCTGAAAACCGATATCTTAAAGCACAGTTAAAAAATGCCGAAGAAGAGACTGGGTTAACAAGAGCGACTCTAAAAAAGTACCATAAAATGATCAAAAATAAAATAAAGGTAAATTTTTATAAGACCTTTGAAAACTATTATTTACTATATTGCCATGAATTGATTCCACGAATCAAATACCTCTCATCTGGTTATCAGTATTTAGCTGAAACGATTTATAGGTATCACTCACGGATAATGCAACTAAGAGTAATGGCAATAGAATTAGCGCTTATGATGCCGAACAAAGTAATTTTTTTCGAAAAATAATTCCTAAAAATGGATTTCTCGAATCCTTTTAAGATTTATTTCTATCAGTTTTCTTGCTACTAGCAACTTTTCAATTTACATAATTGAATTTACATATTTCATATGAAATAGCAAAATTCAATATGTGGATGTTATTTCTTTTTCAGTACACAAAGTGATTGGATCAAAAGCTCTCGATTTAAGCAACTGTGATTATTCCTCTTTAATGGAATTATTGCTCGATCTATGTAATGATCGACAAATTGCACTTGCACATCAGCGCAATTCTAATAAGTAATAATAAATAATAAGTAATAAATTCATATATTTTTTGACCAGAGTCTACCAAATTATTTTCTGCGGAAGATATTTGCTCCATAAAAATTTATTCTTAGTTTTATATTGACTTAATATATTAATTTTTATGAGCAGATATGTTAATTTTGTACTAATAAAAACAATTGAGAATCAATATTTGATCATTTTAAAATAACCACAAATTCATTTTAAAATTCATTTTCATATTGTGATTTTAAAGTAATCATATTACAAATTGTTGTGAACTGTTCTCTAGCAAAAAACTTTGGGAAACGCTTTCATAGACTATTTTTGTTTTTTTAACCATATTTATAATAATATTTCATAAAATATAATATTTAATTTATTTAATAACAGATAATAGATAATAGTTTCGATAAAAATATGAAAATAGTTTGTAGTTTTTCTCAATTATTTCTAGAGCTCATATTTTTTTAATGTATAAAACCTAACATAGCATCAAATCTTAAAATATTTAAAATTTAAATTGTTATCATTAAAATAGCCATTTTTCTTTGTTTTATCCCACTAAATTTTGCAGTTCTGAAAACAAGAGGCAAGATTCAGCAGGCAGTCGGAACATTTAATTTTCATCTATAAAAAGAGAAGTTAGATGAATAAAATTGATTGCTGAATGAAATGTTTATTAATATTATTTTTATTATTATTATATTATATTTATTACTCTCGTTTAGAATTTTGGGCGAACGAATTGTTGAACTTGATGCAAAAATTCTACATATGAATTGCACCGAAAAATCTCCCAGTCGTCTTTCGCCACGATCTCCTTTCACTCATGCTGATGTTGGCATACAATATGATTTCCAAGATTTACAAAATGTATGAATATAGAAGTACATATGCTAAAAAAAATGTTTTCTTGAATGTTTTAAATGAACCATAGGGATAAATATTCAATTTTTAAATCACCAGAACTGCCAAAATTAATCACTGAAAATGTTTTGTTCAAGTCGATTATTATTGAGAAAAAACACAGATATTCAACAATGTAAATATTAATTATCCATTAATTAGTTAATATATATTCAGTTTTCTGGACGAAATTTGTTCCGAATTTTTGTTATGAACTTCTCATTGTCAATTTACATCATGATTAATTGATTAATAATGGGTCTTTCCATTTTTGATCATATTCACAATTTCGCAATTTAAAATTAAGCTAGTGACTATCCTCAATTTTTTGCTTGAAATTTTTCTCGTTGATTTTTACCTGAAATTTTAAAAATTTTATTACCTATAAATTATTTACATCAATCAAAAAGTTAATGAGCTCGAAAATCATGGTGCTATATCAAGATCAAATATGAAAATATTTTTTCAATCAGTATTAGTTTTCCTTGTATTAGCGGCATAACTTCATTACAATGTAATTTCCCATGGCATCAGTTCATTATCAATTTTCCATAATTTGTGTGTGAAGTTTCGAATGATCGCCAAAAAATAACGCCTTTTCAGATATTTGGTAAATTCATAGTCTTCTTTGGACACGGAAATTCAACGAGTGCTTCTATTTTTCTAAAATGTTTCCGTAGAAATTTTATTTTAAAACCGGTTTATTTTGTTTAAAAAAAGTATATATGAAGATAGAGATTCCTTTCCTATTTCGAAATATTATAGAAACTGATCATTTATTATTGTATTCCGATGTTACCTACAAATCGGTAAAAACTAAAAGAATTTTGCTGATTTCGAATGTAAAACGTATTTTATAGTTTCAATAATTACCTTTTTTTATTTTCACATCGTTTGTTTTCAAAATGGCATTTACTTTCATAAATCTGACCGTACTGATCACAAATAGTCTCAAATTGATCGTTACATAATTTATTATCACAACATTCACCTAAATACCGTTCAGTTTTATACTGTCTTTCAAGTACCACTATATTTTAAAATTTGCTGTTCAATTTCATATCCTTACCTTCATAATCAAGTTTTAAAGGAATATGGGGATGCAGTTTATCATATATACATTTAGCCTTTCGAAAGTGGCAAATATTTCCATGCGTTTGATGGTTGCTATCACAAACTGGCTTCTTGTCATAATTTCCACAATTTTCATCAATACAACAATCTCCTAAAATGATTTCTTTCCATAATTTTTGAAAAGAATTTATTACCAAGAGTTTATTTTATGAGTTGAAAATTGAAGATTATTTTCCATAATGAAATAAAATACAGCAATAAAGAACGAACCATTATGTATGACCGATAATTGCCTTTCATGTAATTTTTCAGTCAAGCATTTCATATATGTGAAATAACACATATTTTGATGTTTTTGGCCCTCATTATCGCAAACACTTCCTGAATTGGAGCAATCGCCATTAGGCACTGAGCAACATTCACCCTTGTATTTCAAATGCAAATTTAATCCTTGTCGCTCCGCTTCACATTGAGCAGTCCTGTATGTAGTGGAATTAAACGATTTTTTAATGAATTAAAATTCTTCAGAAAAAGTAGAAAAATTTGAAAAATTTAGCAAATCGGAAAGTCCTACTTGAACATACACAAATTATGGTATGTTATGGTGCCATCACAAACAGGTTCATAAATAGTGCTACAGTTATTTTCACAGCAACTTCCTTTATGTTTCACTGTAATATTGGTACTGAATCGCTTTAGAGCCAAACATGCTTCAGTTTTAAATATGCAAAAATTTATATGAGTATTTCCTTGACTATCACAGACTGGATTCAAAGATAAGTTACAGTCTTTTGTGCAGCATTCACCTGAAAACAATGATATTTTAGAAATGCTGAAAAAAGTTATAGCCAGAACGATATGATAGCACTTAGTTTAAAATCTGGCAGAATAACGCTGGAGTATTCAGATTATCATGTTGAAAAGCTTGGCTTCTGCAGTAATAATAAACCTGTTATAAAATGTGAGTAGTACTGGCAAATTTTCTATATTTCCATCGCTTTCTGGTTTCTAAATTATTAGCCAGGATGGCAAGCTTATAAGGTGGTATGTGCTATCCTTTTACTTTAGCGATTTAAATATTTTATGGAAATGTTTTTGGAATGAGCAATTATCGATGGGCACTTTTCATTTGATTTCTTGAAAAGTTAGGATTTTCGTTCAAAACCAATGTGAAACTCTAATGATTTAATTTTTATTCTTTTTAAAAATTATTATTAAATGAAAAAACTGACTTCTTTTGCGGAAAATAGTTTACCTTTATAATCAAGTTCAAGCAATTGGTTATCCGAATATGTTCTTCTCAGCATACAAGTCACATGTTTTAATTCACATTCATTCGTATAAGTTTCACCTGAAATATTTAAGTTCAAAATTTCAACATTTTTTTTTATTTCGATATTTAAATTTTGGAATTATTAAAATTGTGAGGATTGAACACATGGCAATAGTATATATATATATATATACATATTCCCTTCTCCCCTCTGGGTGAGTGGTATGAGCCACCATCGGATTCTCAGAGGATTGGAGGATTGAGGTAAGGTAAGACCGTCTGATGCCCAAGGATTTTTGCTGAAAAGGTGGAGGATTTGCAGCTCCATATTCTTGACCTCATAATCATTGCAGTATTCTGGCGCCTATAAAATGTGTATAGTAGATACAATGATTTTCACAAAAGATGGTGTTAAAAAGCGAAAAAAGGAAACGACAATTCGCAGAAAATTTCTCAAATATTCTGAGATAAAACAAAATAGTATGAAATTATTAGGAGGAATAAAGGTTTGGACGTTAGATAAAATTTAAACTTCGATGAATTAAAACTCAATCAACACGACACTTTTTTGAAAGCCACACCATTTCCTTATAATTTGCTTTTTTTATTCTGCTTTGGCTGATTTCATCTTTAGCGAGTCAAGGAACGGCACTAAAACCGTAAACCTGGGCATCAGGCCAAGGAATATACCACTCGATCATTCTGTGCTCACTTTTAAAAAAATTTAATTTAAAAAACATTTAAAAAAGTGATTTACTGCTCACATGTTTATAGAGCAGACATAAATTTTTTTCATCTAATTCTATCGTCATTTCACATGTAAATTATAAAATAATTTAGATTTTCTCAATTTATAAATTTTCATAATTGCAATCAATTTTCCATCGCAAAAAATGAAATTATCAGAAAAAAATGTGGTAAGGATGATTTTAGGGCTTAAAAATTATATTAACAGTAAGTTGAATCAATTTTTTAAATTAGGAATGAAAAATGAGAAGCTCTAAAAAGTGCAATTCAGTAGCTTTTTTAATTTCCGCGATATAATTTTATATAAAACAACTTAAGTCCGTTCTTCTCAAAGATTGTTTCAACCAAAGTGAAAAGTAAAAATGTATATATATATATATATATATATATATATTATATTTATAAAAATATATATATTTATTAATTTAATATTATGAAACGAACCATTGGAACCACACACTGGATCATAAATATTCGTGCATTCATTTGGACACAGATTATAATTACATTCACCATAATGGACTATCGTTAAATCATTGTCCTTTTTTCGTTGAACTATACATCGTTCAATGCCGAATTTGCAAAAATTCTAAAGTTGATAATTATTTAAAATAACAATTTAAAAATCCATCTTATAATTATGCTTGTAGAAAAAATGAATCAAATGCCTCATGAGTTACTCCACGGTTATCACAAACAGGATCCCATTTATCACTGCAGCGATCACTACAACATTTTCCTCTGTAGGACACCTTTACTACTTTCCTGAAATTAATTTTATCAAAATTTTTTTCTTGAGAGGGAATGAGGGAAGGTATAGCCAAATTAAATCCATCAATGAATAACATTTTTTCGCTTTATAAAACCAACAAATTAAAATTAGAATTCTTAATCAATGAGAATTTATCACACATAATCTTTTTGTAAAATGCAATCGCTATTGGTTAAATGTACTGGTATTTCAACAACACGAACCATCTGTCTTATTTTCTGCCTGACATTTCGTGGCCCTATAGCTAAATATTGTTCATCGAAACCATATCATTATAAATTTGTTAATATCAAATATCAGTGCTAACGATGATTCGCGATTAGTTAAATTCATGACACATTCATTCAAATATGTATTAGAATCTGTTCCGCATACTAATTCATTCGTCATTGTGCCGCTACATTCATTTGCTACCACAATTCTAGTATTATGTTCCGGTGGTCTGTGTGATTCTGAAAATATTAAAGAAGAATGCCAGAAAGTTTTCACATTCATTCATGAAACATTCCTAAATATAAATATTTTGGTGGCATAAATAAAGTATAAAGTATAAAGGCTCCTCAAAATACCTATGAGCGCTTTTGCTATAGAAGGACGTTTATCATCGCACGCCCAATTTTTGACGAATTCGACAGCCATTTTTAAGATTTTTTTCGCTCTACATTGATAAACATTAAATTTGCAGCGATTTTTGTGGGTTATTCCATTTGAATCGCAAACAGGTTGGAAATCCGTTGGACAATCTTCTTCTGCAGGGCAGCAACGACCTTCCTATAATTAACGCAAATAACTGGCAATTTGGCGAAAAAAAATCGACAGAACAGAGTATGCATCAAATACGATTAAATTATCATAAAATCCATTGAAATTGGAATCAGTTTTTTCTCTATTTTAATAAATTTTGCCATTTCAGTGTGTTTCCTCATCAACAAGAAAGATAGTGCTTACATATGCAATTGTTATATTATATCCGAATTTTTTTTCATATATACATCTCAGCATTTCAAATTCACATTTTGTTTTATTCTCACCAGCCTGGTCACAAACGAAATTCAAATCTGGTTCATTCTCACTGGGCTCAGGACATGAATTTGAGAAACAATCGCGGCATTCCCCTAAAATGCTTATAAAAGCTTTATTGCAGAATTATTGATAGTGATTAACGAATTATTAATAGTGACAACAAAAATAAAAACAAGACAATTAAGACAAGACAAAAATAAAAAAGGCATTGATTCAAATTTATATCCTCAAAGTTTTACGATATTATCCTAGAATTTTTTACCGTTATCTACCTTAAAATCGTTCGCTATGTTATAATTACTCAAATAAATAAACCGTTGTATTTTAATCGTTACACCATTTTATTATCATTTTATTTAAAAATTTCAACGCACCGTTATACAAAAGCTCTAAATTTTTTTGCTTGCACTGTGCCTTTTCAAAAACACATCGATTCGGGTATGTAATGAAATTCGACGAACATATCGGTTCATATTCAGTTGAACAATTCTTATTGCATGGATTTATGCCACAAACCTCATCGGGAGCAATCGTCAACATTCTGCCTTCTTTAGCAGCCAAGCAACGTTCTCGTGAAAATGAACAATCATTTCTAAAATATTAAGTTTTATAAAAAAAAATCGTACTTTGCTTTATGAAATGTTTATTCTTCTATTATTTCTTATTTTTGCAAAGGGACTGCTAAATTTTAAATGGCAGAAATGGATATCAATCGCCATAATCGTGTTGAACTGCTAACTCTTTTGCTTTCTTAATAGTGATTTTAAATAAAAATTACGAATTCCGAAAATTATCGTAAAAAGACGAAAATTCACGTGTCAGAATCCTTAGCGATTCCTTTGGCTAGAATTACTTTTTATTTCCTAAATAACGACGAAAAAATGAAAAAATCGACGAACTTATGAATCCTTCCCTCATTATCGCAAATTGGATTTCGAACGTTACTACATTGTTGTTGAGGACAATCGAAGTTGCTTTGCTGAAAAGTGTATTAATTTAAATGGGTTTTTAGGCTTTTTAGTGCGTCACCATCTTCCTTTAAGATGCCTTTAAGATCATTTTTTCAGAATTGTGCATACAAGAAAATCATGCTTTCAAGCAAATATCTGTTGGCTTAAAATTTTTTTCACTTGCAATGTTATATAAAATTTAGCTTTCTTCAGAAATCATTCAGAAAGCATTGGGTTATCATTAAATTATAGAGAAACCTTTTGCAAACTTTCTTTAGACTGTAGAATCTCTCTTGTCCTTTCTGTTTCATTTAACGCCCGAGGACAGCCATGAAGTGAAATTAAATATGCTACATTCGTAATATTCTAAAAGTTATTGGTTTATTAGTTACTAGTTACTTACTTTATATTACTTAATAAATAACTTTTAGTTATGTTGTCCTCAGGGATTAAAATTTTTAACTGGTATTTCGCTAAAAAATTTTTTTAAATTTCAAATTGGCGATGTTTACTTGTAATTGAAATTGTAAAGCAATATGGAAAACGAGCAAAAATGAAGATAAAATAGCTAATAAAATTATAAATTTAGTACAAATTAATTTTTTAACTTATTCAGAAGATAAAATCTATCATTACTATTCCACTGATTATTGTTAGAGTCGTATTTATTGTTATTATTTATTATTATTATTATAGTATTACTTTTAATATTATTTTTAAAATTGTCTCAATATTAATATAAAATCCACAATTGACTTATCCTAGCAAATCATTAAAATATTGAGCATCGACTATTACATTAATTCCAATTATGAAATTGAAAAAATTTTTAATTTTGTTTTATTTATTTGTCTACGAAAAACATTTATTTGTAGAAAATCTTTTGTCTTCTTTTTCTAAGTTATGCTCCTCATTCATATTTATCGCCATCGATTTATTGAAAATGCAAGCACGAACCATTTTTCTTGTTCTGCAATTATAGTGCTGAAAATTGCAAAGATTGTGATGTGTTCGTCCATCGCTGTCACATACAGGTTTATAGCGCTTCGAACAATGAATAGGACACTCCTGGAAAAATATATATCTATATATCGATAATTTATAGTTATTAATAATTTATAGATGAAAGAAAACCTCATTATCTAAGGTAAATATTGGAGAATTCCACCGACATCTTCCTACGTGAACAAGCACTCGCTGATTCTGTCCGCTTAAACCTTTTCTGCAGTTAAAATGCGCTAGAAGACAAACATTTTCATGCGTAGTATTAAGATTATCACACACAGGAACATGATCTTCATCGCCACATAATAAACAACGACTTTTCCTCCTTATCGCCTTTAACAATTCATTTTTTACAAAATGATCATTTTTTTGATTGCATAATCAGTTTAATTTGAAATATATATATATTTCTAACTAATGAAATATGTATATATATATTTCTGTGAAATATTTCCATTTCAATAAAAATATTTTTTTTGGCTGGATTTATTGATTTGCAACATAAAAAGTTGATATAATAAAAAGTAATAATTTATTTGAAACTTAAGTATTTTGCAAAGAGTACGTATAACCATGCATAATTGGTTCTATACAGTAAAATTTGGCCTGCTGGGGGTAACTCCTATTCAAAACGTTTTAGCTTAGTGGCTAAAAGGTAAACGGAAAATGATGGAAGCTGTTAGGAAATAAATTAAAGATATGCTTTAATTTTATTTAAATATTTAAAATAATTTATAGCTTTATGACATCACTTTCACTGTTTTCCAGTAAAATACCATTTTTTACCAATTGATGATTTAAAAATCACCATATCGGTTGCTGTGCATGGTCCATTGTAAGCTATTTCAGTGCCTCTGCCAAATAACTTTCGTTGCTTGCAATTGTAAAACTCAAACAAGCAATGATTTTTATGAGTACGATTATTTCGATCGCATACGGGAACTATTCGCTTATCGCAATGAGTTGCTTGACATGTTGGCTTAACGAAATTTCGGTGAAATTTTGCAAAGAGCATTTTGCTTATTTAAATCAAGCCAGTTAAATAAGGTAAAATTGATTCCATGGTTCTTACATCCAAAAGCCCTAATTAAGTAAAAGATCTCGGAAGTTGGAATAAAAAGGTTCGATAGCAATAAAAGCAAAGAAGAAATATAGGATACTTTTGTGTAGGATGTAGTAATAATCGCATCTGATCTCTCTTCAATTTTTTTTTTAAATTTCCAAGCTGCAAATATTGTAATTGTTATATAAGCCAAAAGCGAAATAAAATAAATAAATATTCTGAAGAGTTTTAAACGATCATTATTAATTTTTGAAACCACCGTTTTATTTTTAACGCTAATTCGATTTATTTATAGTGAATGAAACAAAAAATCTGCAAATAAATGCAATAATAAAAATATTATTATTGAAATTACTATTACTATGATTACTATTTATTAATTGCTTATTATTAACTACATTAATACTACTTATTAACTACTTATTTGCCATTTATTTGTTGTTAGTGCTTATTATTAACTGCTTATTGCTTATTTATTATTGCTACTATTACTATTACTGCTATATTATTATCAATAATTGCCTCGTCTTTTGTGTCATTTTATCGCTGCTATAATCATTATTATTATTTTATTATTATCGATATTATTATGACAACCATAAAACCAAAATTTTTAAAAAAATTCGATAAACCTGCTAGATCATTTGAATGATTTGTCCGATGCTGTTTATTACTATATTTTGGTTCGCGCATGTTATCGTTGCGTTCAGTGGAGTCTTCAGCTGGTGAAGCCGATTTTAAGTCCAGGAATGGATCATATTCGAAGAATTCTGGCGAGGGAATAAATTTATGCACAGATATCTTATCATCATAAGGTTTCGTCGACCTTTCTTGTATTGTTAATTTTGTTGGTGGCAATGCAGCATCATTAATGTACAAATCCTCGTCTGATGGCGAGGACTTTTTAACGACTCTGGGCGCCAAAAACGCTCGACCAAAATCTCCATGTTCTGGATGAATTACTGATTGGAATAAAATAGGATTAGCACTGGCAAATTCTTTATTTATTGTATCATCTTCATCACTCAATTTGGTCGTAGGCTGAACAGAGTTTAAGTCCTTCAATGTTTTACCTGCAAAATATGGAAAATAATTACTGTAATTACTGTAATGGAATAATTACTGTAATTACTGTAATAATTACTGTAATGGAATTAACCTGCAGATTATTAGGAATACAAGAAGAAAATTTGTTTTCTAAGAATTTGAAAGTGAAATTTAAAAAACCTTGATCCATTCTATCGTAAATTCCTTTGCAATATCCGTCATATGCTATAACAGTCTCGGCTTTCCCAGCTGTTTTCAGAAGACAATTATTCTTTATGAATCTGAATTGTATTTTCAAAAACTAAGAATTGTATTTGCAATTGTAGCATTAACGAAAATACTAATACTAACTAACTACTAACTACTAATGTACTAACTACTCATATAGTAACTACTCAACTAAAGTTTTTATGTCATATTCTATAGTACATTTTATTTATTAAATAAAAAATATGAAAAATTTTGGTATTTGGTTTTGACTTATGAAAGCATGGAATAGATGAAATGAATGGGAAATAAAATAATGGGCATACTGGCAGATATTCTCATGGCTTATATTCAGTGAATCGCATAATGGTCCTGAAAAAAATAGGCAAGGTTTGTCGCATGTCGAAATGTCTGCACATTTTCCTCGATATTTTATGCGTGAAATTCGATTCTCCTTTTTCTTTATAATGCATTGAACATGTCGAAATAAACATTCATTTTGATGAGTTTCTCCTGTAAATTTATTAAAAAATTTTCAAATTCTTAAAGCATCAGTTATGTGGCATTTCTCCAGTTCTCACTATATTACAACATATAGTAATATAAAGAAATAAATTTTTCCCGAAGAAATTTACGTTTTAAGAATCCCCACTAATTATATTGCACTAAGACAGTCTTTTTTTTACCTTACAAATTGATATCGATATCTGCAATAATGCTTTCAAATTAAGGCTAAAAATTCTCTCAAGCAGCATTCGAAACAAATTCCAATCAAAATCTACCTTCATCATCACATATTGGATCGACATATTCTGGACATAATTGCCTTGGACAACAAGTCCCATTGTAGGCAATCTCAAGGTCTAGAAAATAAAATTTAAAATTTCAGTCTCTTCAAGAAACCAATTTCAACTGTTGAAGAAAATTTGTACTATTAATTTTCCAATCTTTATACAAATTTCTAGAAAAATGTTAAAAAGTGCAAATGAATTTGAAATTTTTTCGTTAACCTTTTTACCTTTTTCATTCGCACTTTAATGTTTTAATGATAAAGGAATTTATTGAGTTTTTATTTATTTATTCATTCATATTTATTCATATAGAATTTAAAGATTAAAAAGGAAATAATTTTTCACCAAAAATTTTTAAAATTCTGACGAAAAATTTGATTTAAAAGCAATTGAAAAATCGTATATAGTAAGTAAGAAAAATAATTGAATAGAAATTGCTTTCTTTATGATGAAAATAATGCAATAAATTTCCAAAAAATATTGGCCGATATCTTAATTCTTTAGAAATTGGCCTCATTATTACTTGTT